AAACATAGGCATAAAGAATAAAAATGGCAATAAATAAGTACCTATCATTAATAACCTTAAATGTAAATGGATTAAATGCTCCAATCAAAAGACATAGGGTAGCTAAATGGATAAAAAAAAATATGACCCACATATATGGTGTCTACAGGAGACTCACTTCAGAATAAAAGACTCACACAGCATAAAAATGAAGGGATAGAAAAAATTTTACATGCAAATGGAAAAAAAATCAGGGGTAGTAATACTTATATTTGACAAAAGAGACCTCAAAGCAAAGACCATAACAAGAGACAAAAAAGGACACTACATAATACTGAAGGGATAGAGCCAACAAGTGGACGTAACCCTGGTAAACATATATGCATCCAATATAGGAGCACCTAAATATATAAAAAAGCACTTAGAGATCTTTAAGGGAGAAATCAACAGCAATACAGTAATAGCAGGGAACTTCAACACTCCACTGACATCACTGGTTAGATCATCCAGACAAAAAAAAATCAACAAGGAAACAGAGACCTTAAATGACACACTAGATCATATATATTTACTTGACATTTACAGAACATTTCACTCCAAAGCTACAGAATATATATTCTTCTCAAATACACACAGCACATTCTTACATGTTAGGACAGAAATTAAGTCTCTACAAGTTCAAGAAGATTGAAAACATATCAAGCATCTTCTCATATCACAATGGTATGAAACTAGAATTCAACCACAATAAAAACACTCAAAAACATTCAAACACATGGAGGCTAAATAATATGTTATTAAACAATGAATAGGTTGTCAATGAAATCAAGGAAGAAATAAAAAACTTCATGGAAACAAATAAAAATGAACATACAACAACCCAAAATCCATGGAACACAGCAAAAGCAGTCCTGAGAGGAAGTTCATAGAATTACAGGCCTACCTCAAGAAACAAGAAAAAGCTTTAGTAAACTATCCAACACTACAACTAAAAGAATTAGAAAGATAAGAAAAGTCCAACGTATATAGAAGGAAGGAAATAATAAAGATCAGAGCAGAAATAAATGACATAGAGATTTAAAAAAATACAAAAGATGAATGAATCCAAGAGCTGGTTCTTTGAAAAAATATACAAGATTGATCACCCATTAGCCAGACTCATCAAGAAGCAAAGAGAGAGGGCCCAAATAAAATCAGGAACGAAAGAGGTGAGGTAACAACTGACACCGCAGAAATACAAAGGAGTATAAGGAAATATTATTAACAGCTATATGACAATAAGCAGGACAATATGGACAAAATGGACAAATTCCTAGAAAAATACAATCTTCAAAATCTGAATTAGGAAGAACCAGAGCACCTGAATAGGTCCATAAAACTGACCAAAAAAAATCAACAAGGAAACAGAGTTTTGTCAAACATTCAAAGAACTATCACCTCTCCTCCTCAAACTATTTCAAGAAATCCAAACACTTTCAAGCTCTTTTTATGAGACCAGCATTATCCCAATTGCAAAACCAGATAAGGACAATACAAAAAAAGAGAATTACAGGCCAATATTCCTGATGAACATAGATGCTAAAATCCTCAACAAAATATTAGCAAATCGGATCCAGCAATATCTTAAAAAGATCATACCCATGACCAAGTAGGATTTATTCTAAGGATTCAAGGCGGGTATACTGTTCACAAGGCTGGTATAATGTTCACAAATCAATAAATGTGATATATCACATAAACAAACTGAAAGACAAAAACCAGATGATCATATCAAGAGGCACAGAAAAAGCATTTGACAAAATCCATCATCTACTTTTGATAAAAACTCCCAGCAAAGTGGGAATAGAGGGATCATACCTCAACATAATAAAGGCCATATGTGACAAACCTACAGCCAATATCATACCCAATGAGCAAAAACTAAAAGCATTCCCCCTAAGAACAGAAACAAGGCAGGGATGTCCGCTTTCACCACTCTTACTCAACATAGTACGGAAAGTACAGTGATTAGACAAGAGGAAGAAATAAAAGGCATCCACATTGGAAAGCAGGAAGTAAAATTGTCCTTATTTGCAGATGACATGATCCTGTACATAGAAAACCCTAAAGACTCCACCAAATCACTACTAAATTTAATAAATGAATTCGGCAATGTAGCAGGATACAAAATTAACACCCAGAAATTGATGGCATTTTTTAAAAACATATTTTATTGATTTCAGAGAGAAAGGGAGAGGTAGAGAGAGATAGAAACATCAATAATGAGAGAGAATCATTGATTGGCTACCTCCTGCACACCCCACACTGGGGATTGAGCCCACCACTTGACCATGTGCCATGACCTCCTAGTTCATAAGTCAACACTCAACCACTGAGCCACGCCAGTCAAAGTTATGGCATTTTTATACACCAATAATGATATTTCAGGAAGAAACTAAAAAGACAACCCCATTTACCATTAGAAAAAAAATTAAGATATTTGAGTATAAATTTAACCAAGGAGATAAAAGATGTATACCCGGAAAACAGGCCATTGAATAAAGAGATAGAAGAAGATATAAACAAGTGGAAGAATATACCATATTCATGGATTAGTATATCAACATTATAAAAATGGCCTACAATGAATCACAACAGAGAACCCAGAAATCAATCCAAGCCATTATGCTCAATTAGTATTTAACAATGGAGACAAAAGTATACAATGGAATAAAAACAGTCTGTTCAATAAATGCTGTTGGGAAAATTGGACAGGTACATGCAATAAAATGAAACCAGACCACCTACTTACACCATACATAAGAATAAACTCAAAATGGATAAAAGGCTTAAATGTTAAGTCATGAAACCATAAAAATCCTAGGAGAAAACATAGGTAGCAAAATATCAGACATCTCATAAAGCAGAATTTTCACAGATACATTGCCTAGAACAAGAGAAACAAGAAAAAATAAATAAATAAATGGGACTGCATCAAACTAAAAAGTTTCTGTGCAGCAAAAGAAACCAGCATCAAATTGAAAAGAAAACCCACTGTATGAGAGAACATATTTTCCAATGATACATCTGATAAGGGGTAAATTTCTAAAATATATAAAGTACTCATACAACCCAACAAAAGGAAGACAACAATCCAATTAAAAAATGGGCAGAAGACCTAAATAGACACTTTTCCAAAAAGGACATACAAATGGCCAAGAGATATTGAAAATACTCAACATCACTAATTATCAGAGAGATGCAAATTAAAATGACAATGAGGGCCCTAACCGGTTTGGCTCAGTGGATAGAGCGTTGGCCTGCGGACTGAAAGGTCCCAGGTTTGATTCCGGTCAAGGGCATGTACCTTGGTTGCGGGCACATCCCCAGTAGGAGGTGTGTAGGAGGCAGCTGATTGATGTTTCTCTCTCATCGATGTTTCTAACTTTCTATCCCTCTCCCTTCCTCTCTGTAAAAAATCAATAAAATATATTTAAAAAAATAAATAAAAAATAAAAATAAAATGACAATGAGGTACCATCTCACACCTGCCAGAATGGCTACCATCAATAATTCAATAAACAAGTGCTGTGAGGATGTAGTACGCTGCTGGTGGAAATGCAGACTGGCACACCACTGTGAAAAACAGTGTGGAGTTTCCTCAAAAAATAAAAAATGGAACTGCCATTTGACCCAGTGATCCCACTTCTAGGAATATATCCTTAGAAGCTTGAAACACAAATCAGAAAGAATATACGCACCCCTATGTTCATAGCAATGTTATTTACAATAGCTAAGATCTAGAAACAGCCCAAGTGCCCATCAGTAGATGAATGGATTAAAAAAACTGTGGTATATTTACACAATGGAATACTATGCATCTGTAAAAAAGAAGGATCTCTTAACCTTTGAGAAAGAATGGAGGGACCTGGAGAGTGTTATGCTAAGCAAAGTAAGTCAGTCAGAGAAAGACAAGTATCATATGACCTCATTTATATGTGGAATCTAATGAACAAAATAAACTGATGGACAAAACAGATCCAGAGACACTGAAACATGCAACAGACTGATGTATTCCAAAGGGAAGGGGTGAGGGGGGCGGAGAGAGATTAACCAAAAAAAATTATATGCATAGCCCATGGGCAAACAATAGTGGGGGGAAAGCTGTGGAGGGGGTGGAAGCTGGGTGAAGGGGGGTCAACAGGAGAAATAAAAGAGACATCTGTAATACTTTCAACAATAAAAACAATTTTTACAGACATTCTCTTCTACATTTAGAAAACTGTTGGTTCTCTGGGGAAAAGGAAGGCGTTGAAATAAGAGTAAGGTTCCTTTAAGCCAAGCATCCAAAGTGTGTAGGGGTGATGTGGTCCCATAGATTGCATGCAGAAGGCTTGAGTTTTAGTTCTGACACCTTTACTTGTTGGCTCTGAGACCTTGAAGAAGCAATCCCTAATCTTGGAGTGACCATTGCTTCATTTTTCATTGAGAGCACTGGATTGATGACCTTCAAGTCCTTCCTGCTCTAGCAATCACTGGCTCAGCTATGTTTGGCATCTTGAATAATTAGGAGAGGAAACCAGATTTAGAATCTTACTATTGCAAAAGTGGTTTTAAAAAAAATAATGATGATGAACCTAAACTGTTAATGTGCTTCTCTAGTTTCTTCTGTTAAGGTAAGGATCCTGATACTTAAACCTCGGCCCGCCATCCACGGAGCAACAACAAAGGTAAGGATAACAGCTGGGGAAAGGCGCTGATGAGGAAAAGCTCAGCTCTCAACTCTAAGGCTCTCAGCTGTAGTGCCTGGAGATCTGGCTCATCTCCCTAGTACCCTAACATTCAATCACTTGGCTTTGTGAAATGGGTTGCTTTCAAATGCCAAACCAAGACTTTGTGTACAAGGCTTGCAGTAAAGTGCATGAGACTTTGGAACTTGACTACTGAAGCATTTTATTCTGCTAGTTATTGAATTACCACGGCTCTAGAGTTTGAAGCTAAAGACTCTTATCTTTTACCCCATTGAAGCAGCTCTGACTGATTAACCCTGTGGACAGGAAAGCATGGCAAAGAAGGTGGCAGTGATTGGAGCTGGCGTCAGTGGCTTGGCCTCCATACGGTGCTGTCTGGAAGAGGGGCTGGAGCCCACCTGCTTCGAAAGGAGCAATGATGTTGGAGGCCTGTGGAAATTCTCGGTGAGTGGCACACCACTGGAACACCAAGAGAAAGGAGATGGGTTATACAGCAAATTAAATCTAATCAATTCTAATTCGGACGTGGAGGAAGGTCACAAAATGTTCCAGATCTGGAAAGTAAAATCTCATCTCTCTCATCTCACTAATGTCCAATCATTCAAAACTATATCGCACCAGCACAGGGCTTATTGTGAAAAGGATGTCTCCAGCTTATTAAACACTAGAGGCCCGATGCACAAAATTTGTGCAAGAGTAGGCCTTCACAGTCACGATGGCTGCCTGGATCCCTCCCTCGCAGCCACGGCGGCTGCCTCGATCCAGCAGCTGCAGGCCCGGCTTCATCCGGAAGGTTGTCCGGAAAGACGTCCAGTCTAATTAGCACATTGCACTTTTATTATTATAGACTGTGACCAGTCTGACAAAGCCCAGATCTCCAAGCTGCAAAGAGTGCTAAAGTCAGTAATTAGACAAAAATCACCCCACTGCCTCCCCGTGTGACTGACAGGATTCTGAACCTATTGCTCTTAAATCCTAGGAACCTGGAAGAAAAGGAAAAGAAAAACCTAGTTGGGGGTCAGAAGTCCCAAGTTCTAGTCTCAACTCTTAGGTTTTCTGGGCAGATAGATTTTAGGCAAGTCACTTTTCTTTCTGGACCTCAAATGCTCATTTGTCAAATGCAGAGGTTGGAAATGAAGTTATCTCTAGTGTGCCTTCCAGTTCTAATGGGTTGATTCTATAATTAACTCATGTCTACTGGGAAAGCATTATAAGCTTTTATAAATGATTGTGTGTGTTGGTTGTGTGATTACTGAATACTCTGTGAAGTCCAAATCCAGAGGAAAAACAGATTGCCTGCCATTCAGCCTCATTGTTGTAGAAATAATATAATAAGGAAATATTCATTATAAACACAATTTTTAAATTTCAAAAGCCAACTTTGGGAAAAAAATCTAGCTTTTCTGTTGTGAATTCCCCAACCATTGTTATTGGATGTAGACGATATGTGTTTGGCTTAAAGACATTAATTATATCCACATCATTCACCTTGTAAATGTATTCTCCCTTGGTCTGTTGTAACCCAACCTGCAACAACAGGTTGCTATAATAGAGCGTTATCGGTGCGAATTTAAAACACATTTGTATTCACCTCAAAAGCTTATATATAAAAAATTGGGGCCCTGGTTAGTGTGAATCAGTTGGTTGATTGTTGTCCTATGCACCAAAAGGTTACTGTTTCAAATCCTGGTCAGGGCACATGCCTAGGTTGCCGGCTCAATCCCTGGTAGGGGACACGTAGGAGGCAGCCAAATGATGTATCACTTTCACATCAATGTTTCTCTCTCTCTCCCTCTCTCTTTCTCCCTCTCTAAAATCAATGAAAACATATTTTTTTTAAATTAGGGGTCCTATAATCCTGAAAATATTACGTAAGTTATAAGATCATTAATTTTTATTTTTCATTGGGGAATCATGAAGAGGTTATTGTTTTTTAAGAATTCGGTTTTCTGCCCTAGACTGTTTTACTCAGTGGGTAGAGCAGGGGTGGGCAAACTTTTTGACTCGAGGGCCATGATGGGTTCTTAAACTGGACTGGAGGGCCGGAACAAAAGCATGGATAGAGTGTTTGTGTGAACTAATATAAATTCAAAGTAAACATCATTACATAAAAGGGTATGGTCTTTTTTTTTTTTTTTTTTAGTTTTGTTCATTTCAAACGGGCCGGATCCGGCCCGCGGGCCATAGTTTGCCCACGGCTGGGGTAGAGTGTTGGCCTGGGTACCGAAGGATCCCAGGTTCAATTCTGGTCAAGGGCCCTGGGCATGTGTAGAAAGCAACCAATCAATGTGTTTCTCTCACAATGATATTTCTCTGTCTTTCCCTCTCTCTTCCACTCTCCCTAAAAATCAATGGAAAAATATCCTCAGGTAAGGATTTTTTTTTTTAAAAGAACTCAGTTTTCTCCCCCCCGACCCCCACCCCAATATATTTTTATTGATTTCAGAGAGAAAGGGAGAGGGAGAGAGAGATTGAAACATCAATGACAAGAGAGAACCATTGGCTGGCTGCTGCCTGCACGCCCCACACTGGGGATTGAGCCCACAACCTGGGCCTGGGCCCCGACCATGACCTCCAGGTTCAAATGTTGATTCTCAACCACCGAACCATGCCAGCTGGGTCGGTTTTCTTTATTTACATTTGCTCAGGGAGATATGGCCAGCTTTGCCTAAATCATGAAATGGTTCTCTGTTATCTCATTAGCAACAGTTAAATGCTGCTTGAGCATCTATTTTGGCAGAGTTGTGTATTAGGTAGTAAGATGACTAATATAGGTGACATAGTCACTCTACATAAATAGTTCCTGCTCCATCTGGTGAAGCAAGCTACCATATAGGTCCACAATCCTTTTATAAAAAATGGGCAAAAGCTCCTTTGATAGCAAATGTGTCCTAAAGTCTTACAAAGCATGAGCTGAACCCACAAGGCTATTTATAGTCTTGACTTGTTTCACTTTGTGTTTCTCTGCAGAATTTTATTGCATTTTATTTATAGGGTGTGTCCCCCGCCCCCCGCCCCAGATCTCACAAGGAGTATTATGGAAAATCATACCCAAGTCTATAAATTCTAAAATATATGTGGCCAGAAGTGTTTCAAATATGAGATTATGGAACCTTACGACAACTAGATTGTCAACGTGGTGACTGTTAATTTAATGAGCAAGTGCCTTGAGATTTAGAAGAGGGTGGACTACTGAAATCTCAGCAGGTCAGGGAAAACTTCCTGCACAGATGGCTGTTAGCTGAAGACTTGAAGGATGTCCACTATGTGACACACTGCAGAGAGTGCCATTCCCACTGTAGCCTGTGAATGGCACCCTGCAGATGCACAGTGTCCAACCAGGTGACAGTACCAGGTGGAAAAGGTTTCTAGATAGGGTAACCCGCACTCCAGAGAAGGCACTGAACATGGTGTACCCAGGGGTCCAAGTTAACCAGTGCAGCCAGATCAGATGATAGGCTGGTAAGATGCAAAGTCAGACTCTGAGCTATCCTTTCCATGAGGTCATGTGTATGAGCAAAATTATATCAAAGGCCCTATGTGGCTATAAACATTACAAATATTGTAAACTTTAGCCCCCTCCGCATATCAAAATCCTTCCTTCTTTTCAAAGAAAAGTGGCTTGGTACAATGTATGATCAGAGAGGGATTTTTGAAAAATGTATTATATAAGCTACCATGTTGCAAGTCCTGTTAGGCAAAGGTGTTCCAGAAGAAAGAAACCTGATCATTCTGAACTTTTCACTGTGTGCTTTTCCTATAAAATAAAAGCCAAATTGGGTTTACACACTAGCAGGTTGAGTATGAGCATGTTTTAAGTTTCACATACTCTCTAACAGGGCCTCCTGGCCTCAAACAATTTTAATCTGCTGTAATAAGAGCTTGCTCAACAACCTGAGTACAATAGGTCAGAATATTTGGGCTGTAAAGGGGGGAAACAGAACTATCTGAACTTTTGTTCTACTTATCTATTCATTTATTCATTCAACAAATATACATATTTGTGTAATTATGTATATGGCACTGTGTTAAGTATAGCTGCAGTTAAGAGGTATGGCAGGCAGCTAGTATTTCAAAAGCAGAGAGAAAAGAAGCATTAGGATAGCTATAGTACAAGTGAACATGTGAGGAGGGCAGTGAAGACCATCAGAGCATGGTGGAGGGAGATGATTTCCAGTTGGTGAGGAGGAAGGCAAGGAAAGGCATGAGGAAGGAGGCAATTTCTGAGCTGGACCTCAAGGGTACATTTAGATCAAGAGAAATGAGACTGATAAGCAGAGACGGAAAACAAAAGGAGATCAAGGCAGACTACTAAAATGCACGTACAGCGTTCTTGAACTTGCCTCTGACCTTGCCCTCAAGTTGCTTATGTTCTAGCAGCAAAGATGAGACATGGATGCAGTGATAACTCCAGGCAGGCGGTGGGAAATTGCCTGCAGCTGCTTGGATCTCTGGGTTTAGGGCAAGCTCTCTCAGCCAGAGGCAGAGTCTGAGCTTCATTTCTGCCTTACTGAACCACCCAACATATTGAAATAATGAAAATGGGAGCTCTCTGGAGCAACTGTCTGTTGTTATACAATACATCTATTTCCTTTTGTTTTGGAGAACAGCCTCTTAGGGGGGGGAAATCCAAGGAGCTGTGGGACACACATTCTTCTCCCTGTGTTCTGATTGGCTGGGGTCCAGGGGCCAAAGGGCATAGATTCATTCAACATGGAAATAATTCAAGAGCAGAATCTTACATTTTTTTAACTAGTCCCCAGCCTGCAGCTCAGCCCTCGCTGCCTTCAATGGGCAGCTGAGAAACCTCCTTCAACCCTTCTGCTCTTAACTGTCAATGAAAGGCACCAGCTGTGGGGAACAGGGAAGACAGATGTAAGAACATCTCAAGCATGAGCCTTCTCTTTCTGACCTTAGCAGAAACTTCCAATTGAGGTTTAAAAAGTTAAAATTTGAGCTTACAGCAACCATGAGAAGACGAGGTGTTATTTCCAACTTCAGGGAAAACACCGAGGCCTCGGGCAGCCCCAAGAGACACACTCTTCCCAATTCTTTCCAGTACTTTTTGTCTCAATCTTCCCGACATCAGTTGGGGCTGGCAGGAGACAGACATCTTGAGTCCAACAGCAACATGACATTCCTTTCTCTTCCATCATTCCATGGGAGTTCCCTCAGGATTTGGGGAAGCTGAGGCTGCCAACTTTTGAAGGTACTTCTAAGGCAGCCTATTGTGTGAACTTCTGCCCTGTGCTTGCAACAGAGAGGAAATGTTGACTTTTCAACCATTAAGCCTTCAACCACTTCTCAAAAGAAGCTGCTTTTCCATTACACAGTGACTTTAAAGTGAAGTGCCCATGGAACACAAGGGCTATGGCTTCTGGTTTCCTATGTTTCCTGGTAAAGAGTGAAAGCCGCTAATTGGTGAGCTAGGGAACTCCTCAAGCACAGAGTTCACTTCCAAAAAATGCGGTCCCTGGACGAGCCACATCAACAATTCCCTAATAGTTGGAAATGCAAATTCTCAGGCTCCATCCCAGACACACTGAGTCAGAAATTCTGGGGGTAGTACGAGGAATCTATGGTCTAAGGTAATTCTGATTTCACCCAAGTTGGGAAACCACTTCAACAGAGGGTTCTATTGCTGTTGAAGAGTTTGCTGAACACCATATAGTCAATTAAGTAGGCTAAAAGCTGCAGCCTCCTTTGGATGAGAGAGAGAGAGGGGGGGGGGGAGTGTTTAACATAAGTGTCAGATCAGAATCACTGCTCTGATTAAAAAAAGAAAGAAAACCCTATGGGACTGAAAAAACAGAGCTAATACGGGGGGTTATCAGAATAAGAGGACTAAGGTTGACAGTGGCCCACTCTGAGCCAGGGGCTATGGCTTTCTTTCCAAATCTTACAGAGACCTGTTCATTTTTTTCATGGGTCTTTGGGAGGTTTTATTATTTTCTTTTACGTATTAAAAAGCTTTCAGTCATCGGAGCACTGAATGTCCACTAAGGGCCACAGCATTCTTGTTTTCCTTTTGAAGCTTTGTTATTCTTCCAGGAACATGCAGAAGAAGACAGAGCCAGCATTTACCCGTCTGTATTCACCAACTCTTCCAAGGAGATGATGTGCTTTCCGGACTTCCCGTACCCTGAGGATTACCCCAACTTCATGCACCATGGCAAGCTCCAGGAATACATAAGGACATTTGCTGAAAAGAAGAATCTTTTAAGATATATACAGTTTGAGGTATGAGCCTTGTAACTTGTGCTGTTGACGTCAAAATGTGTATGGGTTAGCGAGAAAGCAAGGGCACAGCACTCACCTAGAGAAATCAGAGCCAAATGGTTGGACACCACCCCCACAGGAGGTAAGCTGTGTTGGTGCAGACTGTAAAGTACTCATGCATTGTTGATGTGTTTTGTTTTGTCTTTGTCCCTAAACATGTTCCCCATGAATCTCTGAGAGCTTTGAAAATGCCACAGAAAATGCTGTCACCGTGTGCATTCCATCCTCATGCTCTCATATTTTAGCAACAATCTCAAATTCTCTAGTTCTTATTTCTGTCAATACTTTGTGGCTCAAGAAAGCATGGCATTCATTAGAAATTCTTCCATTATGGAGAAAGTAGCAACTTAAATGACTGATTACAACAGTTTTTTCCAGCATTGTCCACCCACTTAGCTCCTTAGACTAGGAGCCTTGGGAATTATGGCACTGAGGCACTGACTTTGAAAATAACAGCAATGCTTTACCTTTGTTTAGAACTCTTAACTTCCATTCTTTACTGTTAAATACAGAGCACACATACCTCAAAAAACAATCAGAAAAATTATGATGTTGGATTACATATATAATTTTATTTGTTGTGTTTAATAACAGTAAATAAAATTATATTATCTATTGTCCCAATTATGATTCTTAATTATAATAAATGTTATAAATTAAAATAATTTAATTAATTATAATAAACATGATTGCAGTTGTATTTAATTTGATTTGATTTTTACATATACTTACATAATAATGATACTGTGAAAGTGGCTAATATTTCCAAAGGAAGAGTATCTATTCAGAGCAAAGGAGAGACTGTCTTGAACCCTCAGACATTCTCATACATAAGGAATAGATGGGAAGTGAGAACAAAGAGGAAGAAGTCATGAATGTCGTGGGGGATGGCAGACTGCAAATGGCATTTTCCTCCAGAATACCCCCAGTTAGGTATCCCAAATCTACTAACTTCTTGTCAAACGAGTAAAGATACCCCGGTAAGGAATTTTCCCTGTGAGATTTGAAGATTCACTGTGACTCCTATTTGAATGTCTTCCCATACATGTCTCAATGACCAGGAGAGCTCACAACAGCGATTTCCTCCACAGAAACACGGCTAAAATGTTAAATACAGAATGATAACTAGAATAAATTTCTTTCTGATTTTCTTTAAGACCCTGGTTTCTAGTGTAAAGAAATGTCCCAGCTTCTTAGTTACTGGCCAATGGGAAGTTGTTTCAGAAAAGAACGGGAAGCAGGAATCAACTATTTTTGATGCTGTGATGGTTTGTTCGGGACATCATGTGTACCCCAATCTGCCAAATGATTCTCTTCCTGGTAAGTTTGGGAAATACGTAATAATTTTGGGACTTATACACAAACATCAATGTTGAAATAGATCTTTTCCTAGATTGTATATTGATTATTCTTAAGGTCTCAAAGATTTCAAAACAAAATTTTTAAGTTTGATGTCATGTGAAATGTAGTAATAATTGGCCTCCTGGACCTCTATACTAAACGAATCAAGGACCTGTAAGTCAGAATTAAGATGAAGACACAGGTCATATCTTAGACTCGAATGTAAGTCCTGACAGCACATGGGATCTCTGAGTGAAGTGATATGTTCACAAAAATAGAGTCCAACTGCAAAATTGTTTAAAAAAAGTCATTTTCTTATTTATAACATAAACACATTTGTTATTTATAGAGGAAATTTGGGTTTTCTAATTTCATATATATCCACATTTTGCAAATTAACTTTAAAATTCTCAGTGTGAGTGTGTGTGTGTGTGTGTGTGTGTGTGTGTGTGTGTGTTGGCACGCTCCATTACTATACAAAAGTAGCAAACGTCAAATAATACAATACACAAACAGCATTTCTTTCTTCCTTCCAACAGAAACACATGTCCACTCAAAAATATTAGAGTTCCCAACTCAAGGCATGATGTTCATAGGCCAAGGTAATTAAAAGAGTAGAGATTCTGGGAAAATAGAAGGTCAAAACCACTAATGTTAAGAGGCAGTCTATATCCTTTAGGCTTACAATAAATAGTGTAGGCTTAGAACACCTGGCCTCAACTCCTTATTCCACTGGTTCCTTACCACGTGAATTTAGTAAGCCACTTATTTGTCTCAATTTCCTTGTCTTTTAAAATTGAGATAATACCAATAGCTATCATTCAGAGATGTTATCAAGATTAAATGGTTAAAATATATAAAGCCTTTAGCAGAAGGCCCAACCCACAGTAAGTTCTCAAGAAATACTAGCTATTATTATTATCAAAATAGAAGTTCTCACCCTAGCCAGTTTGCTCAGTGGCTAAAGTGCCAGCCCACAGACTGAAGGGTCCCAGGTTCGATTCTGGTCAAGGGTGTATACCTCCATTGTAGGCTCAATCCCTGGGCCTGGTCTGGGCGCATGCAGGAGGCAACCAATTGATGTGTCTCTCTCACATCAATGTTTCTCTCTCTCTGTTTCTTCGCCTCCCTCCCACTCTCTCTAAAAAAATCAATGTTGGGGGCGGGGGGAATGCCCTTGGTGAGGATTAACAAAATAGAAGTTCTCTTATCTTAAGGGTTTCTTAAAGGCACTAATCGTAACTATTTGAAGGTTTCTTATCAAAAACCATCAAAAGGATAAATGCATTTCAAATAGGGACTGTTTTTAAAAATTAAGACTGCTAATAGGAGGTTTAAAAATAAAAATATCAAAATACATGAGTACAATTTCTTCTCAAATCAACTCCAACTATTCCCCATGTTCTACTTAGGCCTAGACCAGTTTCAGGGCCACTACCTCCACAGCCGGGAGTATAAGGGCCCAGAAGCCTTCAAGGGGAAGAGGGTCCTTGTGATTGGCCTGGGGAACTCGGGATGTGACATTGCTGTGGAGCTCAGTCGTCTGGCTACACAGGTAAATGAACAGAAAGGTTTGGGGAAAACACACCTGGAGTATGGCTGTACTACTAAACCAAACACTGAGGACAGTGTTTGCCATGTCTTACCACAAGGAATCCCCCTGCTATATATGCCCATTAAACCAGGGGAGACTATAGACATTCTCCCTGTGAAGCAAGGTAATGTGGCCATGCTCATATGGAAGTGCATTCTGCTGGAATCAGAGGTAAGTGCATGTGCTATACACATATGCAAGTGCGCATTTCTTACTAATTTTATGTTCTGATCACCTCCAAGCAAACTGGTGGCTAGTCAAGCTCTACCTTCACTTATTTAATAGTAATTCTTATCACTTACCACCCTGAAGGTCTGGAAGATACACAAGGTATAGTTCTTACTACTGTTTATCTATTCAACAGCTACTGCTCAACCAGTATCAGGCACTTTTTTTTTTAATGTAGGAGTTTCAGATTTGTTTTTTTCTGTTTGTTTATTTATTTTAGAGAGAGGAAGGGAGAGGGAGAGAGAGATAGAAACATCAATGATGAGAGAGAATCATTGATCGGCTGCCTCCTGCACACCCCTTACTGTGGATCGAGCCCATAACCTTGGCATGTGTCCTGACCAGGAATCGAACCGTGACTTCCTGGTTCATGGATTGATGCTCAAACACTGAGCCACACCGGTGGGGCACAGGCACTTTTTATAAACAAACACACAAACAAGTCAGACTACTGCCTGACTTAAAGGAGCAGGCAATGGGTGGACTTGGGATGACAGGTATGCACACCATTGCAAAAGGAAATAATGAGACATCAGCGACATTAGCTGTGGCAGTGGCAGCACCATGAAAGAAGAACCTAACGTAGCCTGGATGGAGTCAAGGAAGGCTTCCCAGAGGACTCCAGGCTGCATCATACATGACCAGTAGACCCTGAAGAAACAGCATATTTTTAAGGAAATGGGTGCTCAATAAATAAATTCGTAAATATATGAAAGAAAAGCTTAGGATTTTTAAAGTCATTTTCCCTTGGGTTATTACAAAAGTTGTACAATAGGCAAGCAGCCGGGCTTGACTCCAGGCTGAGGCAGCTGCCGTGTTGTGGGCTGTCCCACAAGGTGCTGGGTAGGTGTGTAGAGAGAAATAGCAAAGGAGATCAGAGAACAGAATTCAATCCTTGGCATCTCCTCAGCCTCATTTCAGCTGGAGATTTAGCTACATTTCCCACACACAACCCAGCAATTCCACCACTGAGGTCCACTGGGTTAGCTGGTTTCTACCAGACCTACCATCTTATTCCCTGAGTGTATGAAGATGAAACATGTTTGTGGGCTGAATACAGAGCCCTCTGGTTCTGAGATAGTAGGTTCTCATTCTTTCAACAACTATGCATTAGCCCTCTATGGTGGAGAGGGAAGTAGGTCTTCCTCTACCTGGTTTCAATTATGAACCCACCTTTTTAGAGATGCTCTTGCCTGGATAGTGAAGGAAATAAATACATGGATATGTCCATAGACTTGTGTTGTATCTGCTTATTTCTCACAGAATGATATTGAAATCAATGTTGCTTCCCCCATCAGGTCATGATCAGCACCAGAAGCGGTTCCTGGGTCATGAGCCGGGTTTGGGAGGACGGCTATCCTTGGGACATGGTGTACATTACCCGGTTTGCATCCTTTCTCCAGAATGTCCTTCCTTCATTCCTCTCTGACTGGCTATATGTGAAGAAGATGAACACATGCTTTAAGCATGAGAACTACGGCCTGATGCCTTTAAATGGGTACTGCAAATAACACATACTTATCATTCAAAAGAGTGGGGCTCTAGTTTAAGTGGAATTTTTCCTCTCTAGATCTTACTTTAGTTATTTCACTGAGGCTGGTCGGGATTGAATGGATGACGATATAAGAGACGCGGTAAATCCAGAGATCAGGTATGGGATAAAAATCTTACTGAAATTAGTCAAGTGGGGAAAGGCATATGGAAGAGTACAAAAGGGGATGGAGCAGGCAGCTAGATCACCCTGATGTGCAGGATTTGGTTGTGGTAGCTACAATCTAGACAGAGGTTTGTGGACTGAGCCAACTCATAAACTCTGTTTGTGATTTTTTAAATATATTTTTATTGATTTCAGAGAGGAAGGGAGGGGAAGAGAGAGATAGAAACATCAATGATGAGAATCACTGATTGGCTGCCTCCTGCATGTCCCCTACTGGATCAAGCCCACAACCCAGGCATGTGCCCCGACCAGAAATCAAACCCTGACCTTTTGGTTCATAGGTCAATGCTCCACCACTAAGCAAGACTGACTGGGCATAAATTGTGTGGGGGTTTTTTTGTTTGTTTTTTTAATCCTTATCCGATATCCCAGTGATTTTTAGAGACAGTGGAAGAGAGAAGGAAAGACAGAAACAACGATGTGAAAAAGACACAATAATTGGTTGCCTCCTGCACACACCTTGACCAAGGGCCTGGGCCAGGGAGGAGCCTGTAACCAAGGTACATGCCCTTGACTGAAATCAAACCCAGGACCTTTTGCTCCACAGGCCAGCGCTCTATCCACTGAGCCAAACTGGCTAGGGCTAAATTGTGTGTTTTTTTAAGGAACATCTTGTCTATGCTTATGGGCGAATGGGGATAGAAATAATAATACTTACTCCTCAAGACTGTTGTGGTATTCAGTAAGATTAAAAATATATACAACTTACTTTGTAAACTATAAAGCTTCACAAAATATTGGTTCTCAATAGCCTCAAATGTTTAATATGATTCTGTGGAGCAATTAACATGTCTTAGCAAGTAGGAAGTCTCAAAACAAAAGCACACACCTCCTCCTCCATGGAAGAGTTGGCATTTTTTCAGGATGGTCAGAGGGCATGGGACACACCAGGTATTTGATTTCCACAGAACTGATGAAGTCAATAAATGTAAAGAGATTCATGTATGCGTTTCTCTATGGAGACAGAGCCCAACCCCTTCTAATGAGAAAGGCATTCTAGGTAGAAGAATCACTGTATCAACAGAAAAAAAATAAATAAATGGGTAAGAAAAGAGAGGATCCACAGAGAAATTTTCTATTTGGCCCACGCTAGCAAAAGTGTTTCATTGTGTTTAGAGAAACGGGTTAAGGAAAAATAAGAGGGAACTGGAAATTGAAATAGCAAATGCCAGGCTTGGGAGCCAGAGCCTCACTCCACAGCACTTATGCGACCTAGTCTGGCAGACTGCTAGGCCCCTAAAGAAAAAAGAAAAGGTGATTTCATGCATTTAAAATTATGTTTAATGTAATAGAACTTCTAACGCTCGAGCTAGTTAAGATTATTTTTGTCCTGTAACAGTAACTGCGAATTGTATTTTGCCTTTGTTCTTGAGACAACTGAAACACAGTTTTGGAAGTCTACTACTAAGAACTAAGCTCCTTCCTAGAAAGGGTTCCAAGTAGCCTAAGGTATTGGCATACTCCCACTCCTGCCTTGGAGAGCAGAGGTGGAAAAGGGGAGAGAAAAACAGGTTTCACTGCGACCTGCTTCTTGTCACCTTTTAAGGTAAAAGAAGAGATTGCAGGGTTAGAGAGGTGGAGAACAGTGTGGAAGCATAGGGACAAATTCTAAGATTTAAAAAGTTCCTTAGGATTTGAGATAGAAGAAAGTCCCAAATCCCTGAAAGTTAACTCAAAATGAAGAATATCATAAAAAAAAAAAAAAGGCCTAGAATTTTGGCAACAGAAGTGCAGTATCCAAGTTGTTATACTTTCTTCTGTGACCACAGTTGATGAAAGACTTGGCAATAAAACATACTACCACAACAAATCTGATTTCCTCACGTACGATGCGACCTCAGCTACAGTAATAGTTCACTTATAATAATGATGCTCTTGTGTGCCAGGCACTCTTGTAAGTGCATTACAGAACATTGTTTCATTCTCAGAGCTACCTCATGAGGTAGATTCTATGTTATCTCCATTTTACACGGAAGAAAACAAGTGCAGAGAAGTAGCAGCCAGAAAGAGATGGAGCTAGGTTATACATTTAGGTCATCTAGTTGCACAGTCAACATTCAACCACTTTATTATGCCTCCGAATTAGTGTTATTCTAACCCATTTGATGAGTTTCCAAATAGCGTACATACCCATAAGAGCATTTTCAAGTTTCCAGGCACCAAAAGAGGCAGCTCAGACAGAAATTCTTAGGAACTGCTTTAGGCAATAGGAAAGGAATTACCCAAAAGAAGAGAGTTCCGTTGTCCTCATGCTGATGTTCACCTGCTCAAATTTGGTTGCAAAACTAAGGGCTGCTGTAGATATCTCTTGGAAATGATGTACTTTACAGCAAAGGCCTTTTCTTGTTTCTGCACAGTGCCCTGAGGAAAGAGCCTGTGTTCAATGATGAGCTCCCATCACGCATCCTGTGTGGCACACTGTCCATCAAGCCTGGTGTGAAGGAGTTCACAGAGACCTCAGCCGTGTTTGAGGATGGGACCGTGTTTGAGGCCATTGACTTTGTCATCTTTGCAACAGGCTATGCATACGCCTACCCCTTCCTTGATGACTCCATCATCAAGAGCAGAAACAATGAGGTCACCTTGTTTAAAGGCATCTTCCCTCCAATGATGGAGAAGCCAACCTTGGCCGTGATTGGCTTTGTCCAGTCCCTTGGGGCTGCCATCCCCACAGCAGACCAGCAAGCCCGCTGGGCTGCTAAAGTGTTTGCAAGTAGGTGGGCCATTCTTTCATTCAGTCAGTCAGCAAACGTTTACTGAGATACCAAGCTAGGTGCTAGAGATATACGTAAAGGGAACCAGACAGACATGCTGCTTGACCTCAGAGAATTTAAAGTAGGGTGAGGGAAATGCCACAATAGGGGAAACCTTAGGGTTTTCCGGTGAGGGGAGCTAGACAGTGAGTTATTCCATGAAGAGGGAAAGGCATAAATGTGAGAACAGCATAAAGTGTGTGATGCTCCAGAAACATTTTGGTGTGAGGCAATATAAAGCAGAGGCAGGGAGTGGCAAGAAATGGAGGAAAGAACCAGGGTGAGGAAGGCCCATATCAGCTGTGTTAAAGAGCTTAGATTTCTAGTGGGAGAATTGGAAGGACTTTGAAAGGCTGTAAGCAATAGAAGGATAGCAGTGGGTCACTGAAATGTCAAAGTACATGGCAAAGGTTGGAAAGGACATGTCAAGTACATGCTGGAGGTCTTCTTGCTATCCATGTGTGTCAGAATAACAATGTCAGCTCACTCCTACTCTATGAACAATCTTCTCCCCTTTGGGCTATAAGTGAAAAAATAAAGAATACAAGAATTACATGGGAAAAGGCAATGTCTCAAATATATTGATTTAATTTACTCCAATTATATTGATCATCACTGTCATTAAGAGTAGTAGCCTTTCATCCAAGGGTTCAAGAATCTTGGCCAATATAGGAATACCTTACTTAACATACTATTCATAAAAGCTTAGACTATAGGTAATGAAGAAAGTGTTATAATCATAGAGTGTATATACATGTTTTCTAAAAATGTTGTGGCTAAATTAGCTTTTCTTTTATGTGTACCTCGAAGGAGAATTACTGCTAAAAGCCCTGTCATGTGATCTTTTGTAACAGTGCTCCCCTATAAAATACTCCTATTGTCTTTTCTCTTGAAAGGCACAACAGGGCCTCATGCCTGAGGTATTGTAGGAAGATTGGACACAGTATATAACCCCCCAAAAAAATTTATAAGAAACAAAGGGTATTATTTATTCATTCATATTACTTGAGCACCAACTATGTGCCAGGCTCTGTCTTGGCACTTAGGACACAACATCAAACAACATGATTAAAATTCTAATAGAAATACAGCAAATATCTGACCACAGTGCACCACTACATTGAGATAATAGGTAACAAGGACTGGGATGTATTTGTACACTGTGAATGTCACAATAACTTCTTGCCATTGTTACAAAGGCCAACGAGCTACCATCAGCAATTGGAAAAAACCTCGGATGGTGTAGTGAAAATCACACAAAAACTAAAAAAGATTTTGCTGCCCCCTTTTAAAAATGTTTTATTTTTCAATTACAGTTGACAAACAATACCATATTAGTTTTGGGTGTACAACCTAGTGATTAGATATTTATAGACCTTACAATATCCTCTTTGGCTGCAGGCTGATTCTGAAAAAAACCATGCTTCTGTCTACTGTCCCATTTTCATTGCCATGTACCTTAAGAGTGAACTATTTCACCAGATTATTTCTTGAAAGAATCCTTAACAAGAAGAGGTAGACAAGAAATTTGAAGAAACTCTTTTAGCTATTATGTGCATGAAGGTTCCTGAGTATACTGAGGATGAGGCCCTCCATAAGGTCACAGGAATATGAGATTGGGTGATTTAAAGCTACGAATCCTTCCACTGTCACTATCTCATTGCAGACCAGCTTTGCGATTCCCAAAGCAGGTTTCACTGGCTTCTCAAATCTTTCTTTCTATGAATTTTTATTCTACTAAAGATACTGAATAAAATTCATCATGTGTCAATTATACATTTCTGATTTGCCTTTTTCAATATTTCTCTCTTCATTTCTTCTCTAGACTCATGTACCCTGCCAACTACAAAGGAAATGATGGATGATATTGATATGAAAATGGGAAAGAAACTCAAGTGGTAAGAGGTTGTACTTGCTAATCAAACAATTAGAAGACTAACTATAATCAAACAATATTAGGTGGGAAAATAATAGTCATTACATTTCTCCTGTATAAGACTAAGTTCTCAACTGGGTGATTTTGCCCCCCAGGAGACATTTGGCAAAGTCCAAAGAAGTGTCCAGTTCAAAATGCCAGTAGTGCTGAGGTTGAGAAATGATTATAACACTTTCCCGAAGAGCTTCTTTCTCATTAGCCACATGTCTGTCCTAGACACAGCGATCAGACAAGAAAAAGATATAAAAGGTATCCAGATTGAAAAGGAAGAAGAAAAACTGTCACTATTTGCAGATAATGTAATACTCTGTATAGAAAACCCTAATGATTTCACCAAAAAACTATTCAAATAAGTGAATTCAGTGTATTTGCAGGATATAAAATTAATATTCAGAAATCTGTTGCATTTCTACATGCAAATAACACACAATCAGAAAGAGAAATTAAGAAAACAATTCCACATACAATTGCATCAAAAATAATAAAATACCTAGGAATAAATTTGACCAAGGAAGCGAAAGACCTGTACTTAGAAAGCGATAAGATACAGATGAAAGAAATTAAAGAAGGCACAAATAAGTGGAATTATATACAGTGTTCATAAATTAGAAGAATGAATATCATTAAAATGTCCATACTACCCAAAGTAATCTACAGATTCAACACAACCCCTATAAAAATATCAATGGTGTTTTTCACAGAACTAGAACAAATAATCTTAAATTTTATATGGAACCACAAAAAAACCCTGAATAGCCAAAGAAATCTTGAGAAATAAGAACAAAGTTGGAGGTATTACCCTCTGTGACTTCAAATTGTACTCCACATCGGTAGGGTACTGACACAAAAACAAATACCTAAATCAATGGAACAGAATACAGAGCCCAGAAATAAACCCATGCTTATGGTCAATTAATCTACAACAAAGGAGGAAAGAATATATAAGGGGGGGAAAGACAGTCATTAATAAATGATGTTGGCAAAACAAGACAAATGCAAGAAAACCTGAAACTAGGCCATTTTCTTAAACTATATACAAAAATAAACGTATCTACAATAAGATTAAAGACTTAAATGTAAGTCCTAAAACCATAAAACTCCTAGAAGAAAACAAAGGCAGTAAATGCTTTTACATCAGTCTTTGCAATGTTTTTTAACACGTTTCTTTTGGTAAAGGCAACAAAAGGAAAAATAAACAGATGGGACTAGATCAAAGTAAAAAGCTTTTGCAACAAACAAAAAACTCATAGATACAGACAACAGAATGTTGGTTACCAGAGAGGAAGGGGGTTGCTGGAAAGATGAAAAAGGTAAACAAGATAATGGAAGGAGATTAGATTTGGGATGTTGAGCACACAATAGAGTATACAGATGTTATATTATAAAGTTGTACACCTAAAATTTACGTTATTAACCAAAGTTACCCCAATAAATTTAAGAAAAATAAAGCTTTTGCACAGTGAAAAAAAACATCAATAAAACAAAAACGCAACCTACTGAATGGGAGATGATATTTGTAAATGATATGTCCAATAAGAGGTTACTATCCAAAATATATAAAGAACTCATATAATTCAATAGCAAAAACAAAAAATCTGATTAAATAATGGGCAGAGGACCTGAACAGACATGTCTGCAAAGATATGCAGATGGCCAATGGACTCATGGAACATACCCAACATCACTAATCATCAGGGAAATGCAAACCAAAACAACAATGAGGTATCACCTTATACCTGTCAAAATAGCTATTACCAAAATGACAACAAGTAGCAAGTGTAGGCGAGGAGTATCAGTAGATATTCCTCAAAAAATTAACAATGGAACTACAGTACAACCCAGCAGTTCCACTTTGAGGTATTTATCTGAAGAGAATGAAAACAATAATCTTAAAAGATATATGCACCCCTATGTTCATTGCAGCATTGTTTAAAATAGTCAAGATATGGAGGCATCGTAAGTGTCCATCAATAGATGAATAGATAAAGAAGATGTGGTACATTTATACAATGGAATTCTACTCAGCCACAAAAGAATAATAAAATCTTGCCATTTGCAACATGGATGAATCCAGAGTATTCAATTATATGTCAACTAGAGTTAAAAATGAATTTTAAAAACAGAATAGTCATGTATTAAAGAGAAAACTAAATTAATCAGCCAAATTGGGAACCCAGTTCACTTCAGGCCACATGGCCAGAGGCAAAAGGCTAAAATGACATCAAAGTTGAGTATAAATTAGGGAGGAAAGAAAAATAAAAGCTTATTTATAGCCAAAGAACAAATTATAAATTTAATGTTGTGGCAAAAGAGAAGAGTGTGGGTGTTACTAGAGGTGCTGACTAAAATTTGAGTTTTTCTGAGATAGAAAATAAGAAATCGGTGCTTCTGTTTACAACTCATTCCTATATGCTCTTTTCTTTCCTCAGGTTTGGACAAAGCCAGACTTTGCAGACAGATTACGTCACATACATGGACGAGCTGGGCTCCTTCATAGGGGCCAAGCCTAACATACCATGGCTCTTCCTGACTGATCCCCAGCTGGCGCTGCAGGTGTTCTTTGGTCCTTGTAGCCCATATCAGTTTCGACTTATGGGACCAGGAAAGTGGGAGGGGGCCAGAAAGGCCATCTTGACCCAATGGGACCGTTCAGTAAAGCCAATCAGGACAAGAGCAGTCAGTGAAGCTCACAGACCACAACCTTTTTACAACTTGTTTAAAATTCTCTTATTTCCACTGCTTCTTCTACCTGTTTTGCTTGCACTTTATTAATGAGAGAGTTCTTGGGTCTCAGAGTTCAGCCTAGAAGTTCAATTACTGATATGCCTATACATGTACACGTATAAAATCTCATACCTGCTCTTTCCCTTCCTGTAGATGTAAAAATGAATTCTGGCCCATTTGACTCAAAGTCCAAATAATGAAAAATACTCAGCATCTCCTTTTTCATGAGAATCTAGACTCTAAAAGGCTTAATTGGCAAGTTTAGAGATGCTCGAGGTAAAGAAGATGGGACAGTAAATGGGAGGGCAGCTTTGTAGGCTGAACAAACTTTAATAAACGTTTTAAAGGGTGTTTTGTCATGGGGAGAATTGATATCACAACTATGTTGAGTCTTCCAACCTATGACACACTATATATTTCCATTTATTTAGATCTTCTTTAATTCCTCAGTAGTATTTTATAGTTTTTAGTGTATAAGTCTTACCTATCCTGTTTCAGATTTATCCTAAGTATTTCATGGGATGTTATTATAAATAGCAGTTTAATTTTTTAATTTGCTACTGTTTATTGCTAACATATAGAAATGCAATTATCTGTTCTATGAACTTTTATGTAGATTCCATAATACTTTCTACATAGATGATCATCTCTAAAAATAAAGATAGCTTTTGTTCCCTCCCATTCCAATTTGGGTATTTTTTTATTTCTTTTTCTTGCCTTATTGCACAGGATAGAAACTCAAGTATACTGTTGAATAGAAGTGATGAGATCAGACATCCTTGCCTTATTCCTGATCTCAAAAATAAAGCATTCATTCAGTCTTCTGTCATTAAGTACAATGTTAGCTATAAATTTTTTCATAAATTACTTTTACATTGAGGAAGTTTCCTTTAATTCCTAGTTTGCTGATAATTTATATCAAGAATAGATGTTGAATTTTTTGTCTAATGCTTTTTTTCTGGATCATTGAGATGATAGTATCATTTATAATTTTTAGTTTATAAATATAGTGAATTCATTGACTATTAATCCAACCTTGCATTCCTGAAATACACCTTACTTGGTCATGATATATTATCTATCCATCTATACATATAAAAGCTTAAGCAACCGAATGACCCAATGACCCAACAACCGATCGACCGGTTGCTATGACACACACTGACCACCAGGAGGCAGATGCTCAACTCAGAAGCTGCCCCCTAGTGGTCACTGCACTCCCACAGCCAACCTCCTGTGGCCCCTCCCCCTGGCCAGCCAGTCCTGGCGCTAAACCATTCACAGAGACCTGCTTCTGGATCGGGGTTTCATACGTAGCAGAGCAGCTCCCTCACTGCGATCTATTGAAAATCAGCCCTTGAGCCCTGACCGGTTTGGCTCAGTGGATAGAGCGTCAGCCTGCAGACTGAAGGGTCCCAGGTTTGATTCTGGTCAAGGGCATGTACCTTGGTTGCAGGCACATCCCCAGTGGATGATGTGCAGGAGGCAGCTGATCGATATTTCTCTCTCATTGATGTTTCTAACTCTCTATCCCTCTCCCTTCCTCTCTGTAAAAAATCAATAAAATGTATATTTTTTTAAAAAGTTGGCCCTCGACACAAGGGTTTGTCTTGCTCCCGGCCTTTTCCTTCCTGGGGGGCCGCCCGCCCGCTGCGGTGGTGGCATGGTAGCGAGGGAAGGAGGGGGGGAAGGCAGGGAACTGCCTTCTCCTCTCTCTTCCCCAGGGCCACCTGCCCGCAGCTGGTGAGGGAAGGAAGGGGGCAGGCAGGGAACCGCGTGGTGGCGGGGCACCAACGGCAGCTTCGGCGTCTGGTGTCCGTTCCTTCCGCACCCACCCGGCCCGGGCTGAAACAGGGAACCTGGGGTGAGTGGCAGCAGACGTGGCCCCTATCCCAGGGGGGCAAGGGCCAGCTCCCTCCTAGGGGCTGGCAGCCAACCTCCTGCGGTCCCTCCCCCTCCAGCTGGCCAACCTCCCACCATGGTCAGCCAACCTCCCGCTGGGGTCCCTCCCCCAGCCGGCAAACCTCCCATGGTCCCTCTCCACCCCAGCACTCCCCCCCCCCCCGCCCCGTGCATGAATTTGTGCACCAGGCCTCTAGTTTTTTAATAAAAGAACACTGAGGACTAACAAGGGGCTAGGGAGCACGCTAAGTCAAAGGGCACCTCATTCTTGTCATTGGGTACTTAGCTGGATCACCAGTGAAATCCTTGTTTTGTACATGTGACTGTGTAGTATGTGGGTGGGTGTATATGTTTGTGATTGAATCTAGTGTAAGGACTATAGCAGGCAAGCTCATTAACAAATTGAATAAATTAAACCTTTTTTACCAGTTCATTATCAATGATAGTAACTGATTTCAAATCAGATTGGTAGAAAGGCTAACAGTTAAGAAATTGTTCTGTTTCAAGTTAGCAGACACAAAAGAAACGATATATTTTTTTAATTTTAAAGTGCAGTTGGTAAACAGTATTATATCCGTTTAAGGTATACAACATAGTAATTCAACATTTATATACTTTATGATATGATCAACACAGTAAGATAGTAACCACCTGTCACCATGCAAAGTTATTACAATATTACTGACTATATTCCCTGTCATGTATACTACATCCTGTGACTTATTTATTTCATAACTGAAAGTTTATTCCTCGTATTCCCCTTCATCTTTTTCACCCATCCTCCTCCTGCCTTCCCTCTGGCAACCATCCATTTGTTCTCTAAATTCATAAGCCTGTGTCTGTTTTGTTTTGTTTGTTTGTTCTGGGGTTGTTGTTGTTTCTTCAGATTCCCATATAAGTGAAATCATGGTATTTGTCTTTCTCTGAGTTATTTTACCTAGCATAATACACTCTAGGTCCATCCACATTGCAAATAGCAAGATATAATTGCTGAATAATGAAATTTCTTTATTGTTGAATAATAATCCAGTGTGTGTGTGTGTGTGTGTGTGTGTGTGTGTGTGTGTGTGTGGTCTTATTTATCCATTAGTCTATTAATAGACACTTAGGTTGCTTCCATATTTTGGCTATTGTAAATAATACTGCAATAAACACAGGAATGCATATATTTTTTGAATTAGTGTTTTCATTTTCTTCAGATAGACAGCTGGAAGTGGAATTACTGGATCATATGGTAGTTCTTTTTGTGTGTGACAAACCTCTCTATTGTTTTCCACAGTGGCTGTACCAATTTGAAATCTCACCTACAATGCAAAAGGGTTCCCTTTTCTTGACACCTTTGCCAAAGCTTGTTACTGTTTGCTGTTTTTATAATAGCCAATGTGACAGGTGAGAGGTGATATCTCACTGTGGTTTTGAGTTGAATTTCTCTGATGACTGTGATGTCTTTTCATGTGTCTGTTGGCCATCTCTATGTCTTCTTTAGAAAAAAATGTCTATTCAGGTTGTCTGCCAATTTTTTAATCTAATTGTTTGGGTTTTTGATATTTAATTGTATGAGTTCCTTATATATTTTGGATATTAACCCCTTATCAGATATATCATTTGCAAATATTTGTAATTCAGTGGGTTGCCTTTTCGTTTTTGTGGATGGGTTCATTCACTATCAAAACTTTTTAGTTTTATATAATCCTATTTGTTTATTTTTGCTTTTGTTGCTCTTGCCTGGGGAGACATGTCCAAAAATATATTTCTAAGACCATTATCAAAGAGTTTATGCCTATGTTTTCTTCTAGGAATTTTAGAGTTTCTGATCTTACATTTAAGTCTTTAATCCATTTTGAGGTGGGGTGTTTTTTAATGTGGTGTAAGAAAGTGGTCCAGTTTCATTTTTTTGCATGCAGTTATGCAGTTTTCCCAACACCATTTATAGAAGAGACTGTCTTTTCCCCATTGTATATTCTTGCTTCCTTTGTTGCAAATTAGGTAAGTCTTCTTAATTAATGGTAGTGCTAATAACAAATTGTAAAAAGATTAACCAGTTCTATATTAATCCAAAAAGAGGGCAATGGACAGGAAGATCTTAGAAGGACCACTAGATTCATCCAAGCCAGTGTACCCACAAGCAGACAGATCAAGATGAGACATGAATCTAGTCAGGGTAAGCAGTCTAGGAGGAGATAAGCATGGTATGCTAGGACCTGGAAGTTGTCAAGTCTAAGAAAGCCAAGCCAAAAAAAAAGTATGTCATTTCTGAGAAATCCAGGGACACAATCTGTTTTATTCATCTAGACACAGTGATATGCCAGAAATACTGCCTAATACACAGAACTGAATATTTGTGAGATAGGTAAATAATCTATCAACTAAATGGAATTCATATAGCCATTAAAAATGCAGCTATGGATATAAAGGTACTGAGATACTGGAAAGTGAAAAATCAAATTGGAAATCATACTTAGATTGTGATTTCATTTTTGTTTGTGTGTGCATAGGTGTATGTATATAAATATCTGGAAAGATATAGCAAATTGTCAACAGTGGCTAAATTTATCTCTGTATGACAGAGTTAGGGGTAATTTCAACTTCTTTTCATTTATCCATATTTGCATATTTGCTAATTTGCAAATTAACATTGTCTACATCCACTACAAAAATGGTTTTTAATCTATCTGTATGATATGTTTGCAAGTGTCTATATAGTGTTGGTACTATAAAGACATTTTACAACTACGCTGGACCTCAAAATATGGGCTCCTTGCTTGATTTCATAACTCACAAAGTCCTTGGCGTTTCCACTGGCAGAATGCTGGGGTAAGAAGCTCCTCCCATTTCTCACTGCCTCCTCCAACTCTTAAAACCCTTCTGACTGCATAGGAGCACACAACCGACGATGCAAACCATTGTGTGTGAGAGACAGCGACAAAAAGGTAACAACAAAGGTAAGGATAACAGCTGGGGGAAGAAGCTGACAAGGAAACGCTCAGCTCTAAACTCTAAGGCTCTCAACTGCAGTGAACAGAACTGCAGATCTGGCTCATCTCCCCAGAACTTTGTCATTGAACCACTTGGCTTTGTTAAGTAGGTTGCTTTTAAATGTTGAACCAAGACTTTGTAAACAAGACTTGCAATAAAGCCCATGAGACTTTGGAATTTGACTACTGAGGTATTTTATTCCATTCCAGCTGGTTATTAAATTACCACTACGATAGCGTTTAAAGCCCATTACCTGACCACAACCTTACGACTCTCTTATCTTTTGCCCCACTGAAAGCCACTGACTGACCAACTCTGTGACAGGAGACCATGGCAAAGAAGGTGGCAGTGATTGGAGCTGGTGTCAGTGGACTGATCTCTCTGAAGTGCTGTGTGGATGAGGGACTCGAGCCCACCTGCTTTGAGAGGACCGAAGATATTGGAGGACTGTGGAGGTTCAAAGTATGTGAGATCTTCTTGTTTCTTGCACAGGTTGTGCTGCTATTACAGGGGGAAGCATAGCTACTGATGAGCCTTATTGAGGGATTCCCTAAGCAACTTTTATCAGATTTACTTCATGCAGCTATACAGGAGCTGAAGAAATAGGCTAGCATCTCTCCCAGGTCATTACTATTCTAACACATACGTGGCAACACCAGGCATGTGGAGGATCTCTTCTTATGCCTCTATCTTGCAGCCCACTATTTTGGTCATTCTCCAAGTAATATGCTAGTATTAGAGAACTTACAAAAAAGAAGTGACAGGAATTCTTTTCAAGACACCACTTCTATTCCAATCATTGAGCAAATGCTTTTTTAGAAAGTGTGCTCTTATTACTAATGATTTTTACTTTTCTCTGACAAAGAGACCTTGTTTGCTTAGCTTTACTGATGACACTCTAGTATTACTGCTGGGAAACTCTTTAACTATACTATTAATATACTCTATTCATTCAATTCATGCTATTAGCCAAATATAAATATTGGTAATGCTAGCTGTCCTTCAGAATTTGTATAAAAATTAGAAAAATACATAGAGAGCCATAAAGATTTATAATTATTCCTCCCCAATTTTTTTGAATGAGTACTAGCTTACCACCTTCTAGGTGTGAGATCTTTGGCAAATTATTTACATCCTGTGTCTTAGTTTTCTCAGCTGTAGAATAAAGATATTAACAGAAAAATGTAATTATCTCAGTGCTATTTTAAAGATTAAGGGAGATCATTCATATCAAAAACTTATAATAGAGTACAATAAATGTAGCTACCATAACTATGTATTTTATAGACAAACAAATAGAAACAGAGAGGGTAAATGATGTGATCACGGTCACATAGCTGGAGGAACTGGCATTCAAACCTGGGTCTCCGTGACTCCTAAGCAGCTAAATCCCTACTTATACGTATGTCTTAATTTGCACTCTTGCCCAAACAAAACCTCAGCTCAGAACTGGAATGACAAGCTGAGGATTATGTATCAGGCACATTAAAATGAGGGATTAAAATAGGTGGGAACATCCCAAACAGGAGCAAACGGATTGAGAGCATGAAAAACAGACTTTCATATCGGCAGAGACCATCTGAAGTGCCCTTTCTGCAAACGGACCGATTAAGGGGATGGGGAGGACATCCAGCAAACTGGACATCCAGTTCAAACTGAATTTTATGCCAGAGGAGATTTTTTTTTCCACATTGGGTTTCTCAAAGGGATCTGACTATAGGACATACCTGGGGGTTTCTTAAAATACTAAATTTTGAACACCAGCCCAGACTACCTTAATCAAAATCTTCTGAGCGGGGAGGACCCTATTCTTAACAAGAGTCTCTAATGAATCCCATGATGAGACAAGTTTTGCAAATATTGCACAAATGCTAAATTTTTTAAATCTGTTCAATTCAGTGATCCAAGCACAGCCAGAACTAAGATGGAAAAATTGATACTTGTTACAGAACAGGTAACTTTGCAGAGAGGAAACTGGAAAAACAGCTGAATCACATTCATTTTTTATGAGCATCTGCTCATTAAAATCAATGTAGCTTTTCTTAAGCAGGTGAACATTCCTGTTTTAACCAAAGATGTGCTATTTTTGTCCACTCTCAGTTCATGTGGAGATCCCATTTGGGGTTCTACCCCCCAGGTAGATTTTTTACCCTAAGGAAGAATGCAAAATTATAACAAATTTCTATTTAATAATAAATTTGTCATTGTTTTGTTTTATTACCTGACTTGGGATTTAAAATCAAAGAGTCAGTGTCCCTTACTTAATTATCATTAGTTTGGCAGCAGAAAAATGAGAGCTTTTTTTAGTGATCTGTCAAAAAATATGACTTGGTGAACTCTAGGAAGGTGCCCCAAAATATTTCTCCTGCTCTCCTATTCTGGTAGTAGAGATAACTTCCTATCAATTAAAAAAGTTAGACTAAAATGTAAATTAATTAAGTCTTCTATATAATAAAAGCCTAATATGCAAATCGACTGAACGGCAGAACAACCAGTGGAACGACCAGTCACTATGACATGCACTGACCACCAGAGGGCAGACACTCAACGCAGCAGCTGCCCCCAGGCTGCAGGCCCCAGGCCAGCCAAGGTGGGTGCCAGTGAGGGCCCCCCAATCACCCCGCCGGTCACCCCACAGATCGGCCCTGATCGCCAGCCAGGCCTAGGGACCCTACCCATGCAGGAATTTCATGCACCAGGCCTCTAGTTAGGTATAAGATAGTTAAATACATAAATCCATGGGAGCTGTAATAATGTCACATTTCAAACCTGGCTTACAACTATATTCAATACAGAAATGTAAACAATTTTCTCTAACCAAAAAAGACAAGGCATCTCTCCGCAGAGTGAAACATACAATGGACAAAATTTCAGAAGCCAGTGAGGCCAGTGAGGCTCTTGATTACCGGGAGACTGGAGTGCCAAAGGGAGGCGGTACGAAAAAGGAGGCTGAGGCCTCCACACCACTCCAAGACACTCCTCCATCCAAAATCAGTTTTGTAAACTGATTATTCTTTAATTTCCATACTTACACAATCCTTCTACAATTACATACCACATTTAGTGGTGACAAGTTAAAACAAAATTTAAGAATCCTTGTCCCACCAGGTCATTGTGGCTCAGGGGTTAAGTGCTGACCCATGAACCAAGAAGTCACACTTTGATTCCCAGTCAGGGCATATGCCCCAGTTGCAGACTCCATCCTCAGTAGGGGGTGTGCAGGAGGCAGCCAATAGTTGATTCTCTCTTGACACTGCTATTTCTAACTCTCTCTCCCTCTCCCTTCCTCTCTCTGAAATCAATAAAAACATATTTTTTAAAAAGAATCCTTGTCCCATGCCCTGCTCAGAGAGTGCTGAATCTTTTAAAACAGCGGTTCTCAACCTGTGGGTCGCGACCCCTTTGGGGGTCTAATGACCCTTTCACAAGGGTCGCCTAAGACCATCGGAAAACACATATAATTACATATTGTTTTATGATTAATCACTATGCTTTAATTATGTTCAATTTGTAACAATGAAATTGGGGGTCACCACAACATGAGGAACTGTATTAAAGGGCTGCAGCATTAGGAAGGTTGAGAACCACTGTTCTAAAAGGTTCTTCAATACCCTCTAGTGGCAGCTTTGGAACATGGAGAAGATGGGTAAATAATATATTTCTAGCACTTTTTCCAACAAGGGGAAGCACTCATCCCATGCAGCATCTCATTTTTCTTCACAATGCTTCTAGGAAGTAGGTATTATGATTATTTTCACATGGAAAGAGGAAACTGAGATTTAGGATACGCAACTTGCCCAGAAGAACACTGGTGGTGGGAAAACAACAAAAGTGAAGGTCTGTAAGATTCCTGACCCCCTCACACTTAGTAATCTTACTGAGGTATTAAAAGACGAAAGCATAATCGTCCTTCAGCCATTAACCTGCTCTGCCTCCTTTATTGTTCCTAATAATTGTGCTCACAGGAAGTTAGCAATATAGTACATTACTTTTGTGCATGTGTTTTTTTTAACATTTGGACATAATTATCATTTCCCAGTTACATATACAGCATAAGGATGAGGAGTACCAATCCCCATGCAGTCAAAATTCACATATAAGTTTTAACTCCCCCAAAACTTACTTTCTAATAGCCTACTGTTGACCGGAAAGCTTTGCCAGTAACATAAACAGTCAATTAATACATATTTTATATATGTATGCATTGTGTACTGTATTCTTATAATAAACTAAACTAGAGAAAAGCTAATGTTATTAAGAAAATCATAAGGAAGAGAAAACACATTTACAGTACTGAATGTATTTATTGAAAACATTGACGTATAAATGGATGCAACCTGAAACATCGCTGTTAGGTCTGATCAAATAATTGAATCGATGCCCCCTCCCCTGGGAACTGATCTTTAAGCCACTTCACAAGGGACATTCCACTTGCTAAAACCATTATCTCTCCCCTCCGGACTTTCCCAGAATCCAGACCTGCACAGAGAATTCTCCACCCAGAAAAAGCCCGCCTACAGTCCTTTAAAAACCTCTGACTCCCTGTCTTTGGATGCTGGTGCCATTTGGGGGCTCAGCCCAGCTGGTATCCAGATGGCCTAATAAATTCATAATTCTTTACCCCTTTTGGCCACGTGTGTTCCTTCTTTGGTGACCCTAACAATCACTTTCTGTCTTAAAATGTGACTCCCTCAAGATCCAATAGGCCAAACCAATTTGAAAAAGTATTGTGATGTCATCATCAATTCCCTGACAAACTACAAAAGTAAAGCCCCCAAAGGAGAGCCTTGCCCCAGCTCTGAAATTATTGGAGGAGCCCAGACATCAGAATTGGTTCTTCTCGTCGCTTAAAATTGACCTGACAGAGAAGCCAACCACATTTTAAAGCCAACTTATTGGCACTTAAAAATATCCAAAATGGTGGCTCTAGTATAACAGTCCACCTTAGTTTAAACCCTAACTGGATTAGTAGTAAAAACTCTAGTGCGCTGTAATAATAGCAACAGAGGCAAACATGCATTGAGCACTCATTAGCACCAGGCATCATGCTAAGCACCCTAATCTCATTTAAAACCTCATAACAATTGTGTAATGTCAGGATTACTAATGAATCCCATTTTACAGGGGGGAAAATGAGGAAACTGACTTATGTAATTTGCTCACAGTTAAAAAGCCATTAAAGATCACAGAATTAGGTTATCAACCCAGTGTAACTCCAGAGCCTTTGTGTTTAACTCTATTCTATACTACTTATAAAATTATCTGATCTTGAGGGGAAAACATTTTTATTTTTGCTTTATGAAATATTTCTGATTTTGAGAACTCGGTTGGATAAGAAACTCAGATATTCAGTCTTGCCAAGAATATTGTGTTAAATCATGCTGAGCCTTCCAGAAATATTTTACACAATCAGTTTGACTCCAGGATTATGCCATTTGAAGCCAGTGGTCAAAAATAGAAATAGCCAGAGGTTTTTAAAAGACTCTAGGCGGGCTTTTTCTGGGCGAAGAATTCTCTGTGCAGGTCCAGATTCTGATTTATCATTCATCCAGTTCAGATTATTAAATCTTTGTATATGAAGCAGAAACTATTTCATATTTTAATACAAACTCCCTTCACATTCTAATACGTACAGTTTACAATAACATCATACCAAACCCCTAATCATCTAGAAAACTGGCATACCCTCATCAGGCTAGTTTTTACCAAGCCACTTGAAAGTGCAACAAAGTTATAATCTGAGCCTTGATTCTGGAACTGAATATATTTTAGAAGATCAAACTTTTTGGCAAAATTAATGTAGAGCCAAATTGGTGTGGCTCAGTGGTTGAGCATGGGACCTATGAACCAGGAGGTCACAGCTCGATTACTGGTCAGGGCACAATCCCTAGGGTAGGGCATGCAGGAGGCAGCCGATCAATGATTCTGTCTCATCATTGATGTTTCTATCTCTCTCTCCTCTACCTTCCTCTCTGAAATATATTTTTAAAATAATAATAATATCTAGAAAATATAAACACATTGCTCATTATAAAAGGCATTTGACTCCTAGCTTGAGTTGGCCTGAGTGGGTAGGTGGGTGGATGGATGGATGGATGGATGGATGGATAGATGGATGGATGGATGGATAAATGGATGGAAAAGAAAGAGAGATAAGGAATGTGTGAGGCAAGAGGATCTTTACAAACTTAGACCCACATTTAGCAAGGATTCTACATACTGCTCTTAAATGACACGATCTGAGAGCAAATATAGTTTTAGCTTTGGTGTCTCATGTTGAAACTAATAATCCCTGTGAAGCACAATACATATAAAGAGCAGGCTCCTTCTGTCATGTATAAAAGAGTTGAGATCCCACAGTTTACTTTTTCTTAACTCTTTGAAAGTGAAGAATAGCATGAAAAAATAACGTGGAGTCATTACAGTCAAGTTGCTAAATTACCAAAATCAAGTAGGTTGAGGAATGAGGAAACAATTCTGTTCTTGTTTAACTAGCCTGGGAACTTAAACTTTTTAACTTTCCAGTCCTGCGTCAATGCCTGGTTATACATTAAACCTCTAGACAACCCTCTGGTTACCCCCTAAAGGACTAAGGAAAAAATGTTCATGTATCCAGACCACCTGACATCCATTATCCAGAGCACTGGTCTTCTAGAGAATTACCATCTTGGATCAATCCAGAGGCTAAGAATGCAAGACTGATTCTTCCCAAGAATGTACTTTTTACTCTAAGAACTCATAGCTTTTCTTTCTTCTTTGGAACACTCTGGGCATTACCTAGTTGTGTTTCCGATTTGCAAACTCTAAGACCCTTGAAAAATCTTTATCATGTATTTCTAGCAAAGCCTCCAGACTTCTTTTGAGTTTGTCTGACAAAATCAAGTACAACTTCTTGTACAGAAAATGTCAGAAAACTCAGGTGTGATAGTGAGTGTGCCTGTGTCAATATGTTAGAGCAGCTATGCTAGGTACCTTTCTTATAATGCAATGAGAAGTGAGCTGAAACTGATGGTTTTGTTGATGCTCATAGCTTCCTCAATAACAACAGACACAGTCATTGAACAGCTAATACCCCCAATTTTAGCAGCTGAGGGTATTCATTTTAATTGAATGAGTACTATTATGTTCTCTGACCAATGTTTCACAATTTATTGGTTCTTAAAGAGGTGGACGGTGTATAGCCTCCCCAGGGGAAATTTCAGAAAGGGTTGGTTGTCACAATAGCTGACATTAAAAAGGTAGAGACCTGGGGTGCTAAATATGACCAAAGAAGGATGGTTCCCACTCCCAAGCCCACCAAATGGCAGTAGCCCCTCCAGTGAGCCACACACTGAAAGGCGCCACCTGGGGCCTACCACACAGGATGATGGACATGTATACTGCACCCAAAGGGATCACATCACCCAGGGGTCAGATTTGGAAGAAGACTAGGAAACCAAGGGAATTTTAAAATGCATGATTATCATTTTTATTTGATCTTTTAGGAAAATGTGGAAGATGGCCGAGCGAGTATCTACCAATCTGTCATCACCAACACCAGCAAAGAAATGTCCTGTTTCAGTGACTTTCCAATGCCTGAAGATTTCCCAAACTTCCTGCACAATTCTAAGCTCCTGGAGTATTTCAGAATCTTTGCCAAAAAGTTTGATCTTCTAAAATATATTCAGTTCCAGGTATTGTATTTTGGGGGGAATTGTTTTCTCTACATTAGTTCACATCACATTTAAATAGAGAAGTTACTCTGATAATGAAAGAGATAGTGGATAAAACAAAGTATTGCAATCCAATTATTTCTGAAAGATGAGAGCATAATAGAAAACCCAAAAAGAATGTCATTACCCTGATGCTATAAATTGTACACATTAACAGAAGAGGAAGATCATCTGTTAAAAGTAAAGGTTTGCAAAGGACTTGTATGCATGCATATAAGCATAACCAATGGACATAAGACACTGGGGGATAGGGGAGGCGAGGGGACTGTCAAGGGGGGGGGGGAAGAACACATATGTAATACCCTTTGTAATACTTTAAGCAATAAAAAAAATTAATTAATTAATTAATTAATTAAAAAAAAATAAAGGTTTGAATGATGATGATAATGATAGGGAAACTGCATTTAAACTAATATTTGTAACCACTGAAGAATCCTATCCTCATTTCCCTTTAAAAAAAAAAAAAAAAAAAAACATGGAAAAAAAACAAATAATCAACAATAAAAACACCAATATCTCACTTAACATGCTGAATTTTTATCAATAACCTACACTCTGAAAACTACTAACTGTGCCTAGGAAATAAAGTTTAAATTGCATCTCTAAATACATAACTCCTAATGGAGCTTAGGATTTTTTTAAACACATCTCAGTTTCTCAGTAATTTTAGTTTTGCTCCAGGTTTGTATTATATTAATTTATAATAGTTGACTTTGGTGAAAATCTGTATTTGTAAGCACTATTAAAATGTCCATACCAGGCCGGTGTGGCTTAGTGGTTGAATGCTGACCTATGAACTAGGAGTTCACGGTTCAATTCCCAGTCAAGGCACATGCCTGGATTGCGGGTTCAATCCCCAGTGTGGGCGTGTAGGAGGTAGCCAATCAATGCTTCTCTCTCATCATTGATGTTTCTCTCTCTTCCTCTCCCTTCCTCTCTGAAATTAATAAAAATATATTTTTTTAAAATATCCAGTCCCATCTAATGTAGTTTTTCCCAAATTCCTGGTAGATCCATCCTATAAATGACAGACCCTTTATATCAGAAGCTTTTATAGATCTTTGTCTACTTAGCTACCAATTTATTTAATAGATGTATTGCCCTTTCATAACATGTAATTTATATTCTCTTTTTGTTGTTGTTAATCCTCACCTGAGGCTATTTTTTTTTCATTGATTTTTAGAGAGGAGGAGGAGGAGGAGGAGGAGGAGGAGGAGGAGGAGGAGAAGGAGGAGGAGAAGGAGGGAGGGAGGGAGGGAAGGAGGGAGGGAGAGAGAGAGAGAAAGTGAGAGAGAGAGAGAGAGAGAGAGAGAGAGAGAGAGAGAGAGAGAGAAGCATCGATGTAAGAGAGACACATTCATCAATTGCCTCCTGCACTCATCCCAACTGGGGGTGGGGATCAAACCTCTAACCCAGGTACATGCCCTTGACCGAGAATCAAATCCATGACCCTTTGGTGTGTGGGCCAACCAACACTCTAACCACTGAACACACCGGCCAGAACAATAGTCTCTATTCTTTTAAAGATCATGTTAGAGTTGCAAGGAAACTAGTTTTCTTGTTCACTGTGTCACCGCTGCACTTGTTTTCTGGAGGCTGGAGAGGAGTTAGGAAAATGCATTTCCGTGTATTGGTCTCTGAGTTGGTATAAGCCCTAAGATGTTAGGGCTCAAATCAAAATGTAAATGACTCTTGCATGTCTAATCACCTTCCGAGTGATACTGAAGGTGTTGGTCCTCAAACCGCATTTTGAATAGCAAGAACCCACAGGACTTTAGCTAGTATACTACTCTGGACTACAAATCTGAAATCTTTACTCTCTGCTGAAAATGCCCAGACGTTTTATAGTACTTTCGTAAGCTTTATACTAATATTCCATATACATTTTTAAAATTTGAAGTCTCAAAAATTAGCAATGTTACATTTTGAAAAATATCTGAAAATGTGAAAAGCATGCATAAGAGACTCAAATACTTGCAAACAAGAGAAGTATGCCACTCCTCTGAAAGTGAGAAAAGCTTTGCTTCCATTTGACATTGTTCTTAAATACATCAGACATACAACCTTCATAAGCACTTTTAAAAACTCACAGACCTCCAGACAGTAAGCTACATTTTAAAAAATCAATGAACCAATAAATTATTTCATCCAAATGAGATCATGAACAGTATTGCTATCATGATTGTCCCTGTTCTAAAAATATAAAATATACCATTCACAGAGTGCTGACAATATGCCAGTCGCTATGCAAATCACTTCCCATGAAACATTTTCTCTAGCACAGTGTCTGCACAGAAGTGGACACATGAAAGGTTCTTGATAAATATTATGTGATCACTTGAATGATAAACATGGATTTTGCCCAGAGCTTACCAGCCACGCCTGCATCTCACTCCAGTTCTCATTCAGTCAGCTGAGTGGGGCCTCTCGCGCAAAGCAGCATGTCCTTAGTTGGTATCTCCCTGCCAAAGAAGAATGAGAAGGCTGAGTTTAGCAGTCTTTGCCTTAACTGGCTTGAAATGGATTCAAATGGAACCTAAATTGTATCAAACATTGCATTCCGCTCATCCCCACTCCTCAGGGCACTGGACAAGGCCCCTATATGCCAGATTAATTCTCAATGATGCCTTTCTATGTTCATTTAAGACAACTGTCCTCAGCGTGAAAAGATGCCCGGATTTCTCATCCTCTGGCCAATGGGAGGTTGTCACCGAGAGCAAAGGCAAGGAGCAAAGTGCCATCTTCGATGCAATTATGGTTTGCAGTGGCCATCACATCCTCCCTCGCATCCCACTGGAGTCATTTCCAGGTGAGGCCTAGGGGATGCCCAACTTTTCAGAGCAGGTGTCCAGATACTTTCTATGCAGTTTGGAATGATCATCTTTGTTTCTGTTACACAAGAATCCACCTAACCTTCTCCAAAGTCAAGATGTCAGAGAATTCATATCCACATTGCCTCCGTGTTGGAGAGGCCCATTTAGCCATGTGCCTGCTTTGGCCTTTTTCTATCCTGCTAAACAGCTGTGACTTTGTTCTGTCCCTGGAGCCTTTTCTGCAGAACCATGCCCATGGACAGAGTTAGTGGGGAAAGTTCCTGGAAATTTTGGTCCTGGATCATATGCTTAACCTAACATTTCTTATATGCTTTATACTTTGAGTTTATCAATTGGCCTTGCTATTATAACTCCCCTAAGAGAGAAAGAGGCAAAAGAAATGATTAACCCCAGGAAGGAAAAGTTGACAATGCAGTTTTCTTGAAATTAATTTGACATAGTTGACAGGCTTCTCTCTTTTTCCTCCTGAAGGTATAGAGAGGTTCAAAGGCCAGTATTTTCACAGCCGCCAATACAAGAACCCAGACGGATTTGAGGGGAAGCGAGTCCTGGTGATTGGAATAGGAAACTCAGCCTCAGATATTGCCGTTGAGCTGAGCAAGAAGGCTTCTCAGGTGCAAAGCTCTCTGCTTACCTTTTACCTTGGAGGAGAGGAGAGGGGAGGGGAGGGGAGGGGAGGGGAGGGGAGGGGAGGGGAGGGGAGGGGAGGGGAGGGGAGGGGAGGGGAGGGGAGAGGAGGCACATTGGAAAATCTGAGCCATGTAATCAAGGCTCCATTACTCCTTAACTGGTTGGTTGGTTTCTCCATTGATTCATGTGGCATCAGAAAATCCGTATGTCAAGAAGCCACAGTTTACCTCCCAGCTCTGCCACTATCAGCTATGTAACGTAGGCTGAGTCATTTCACTTCTCTGGGCTACAGTTCTCTCATTTTGTAAATGGGAAGTTTTGACCAGATGACTTTCAGCCTAATAAGCCTTGTTTCCACCCAGGGGCCTTAGTGAAAAGCTGACCTGTTCATATATGGGGCGGGGGCATTTAGAAATTTAGTGTACATTTGAATTATATTTGATATGTAAATAATCCTCAGTTATCCAAAGATTATGAAAAAAAAGATTAAATAGTCAATAAGACTCCTAACCAAGATCATAGACATGTAAGGTGCACACTAAGCCCTTCCAACCACTTTTATCTTTGTACCTGCTCAGGAATGACACAACTGAGCTGTGAAGGAGTCAAACATTACAAGATGTAGATAATGCTGACATCGATGATTGGGAATAACAGAAAATAAATCCCTTCCAGTAGGACAGTCCTAGGCAAAGATGGGAAAATAGCTAGGGTTCCTCTCCCCAAAGCATTCCCTCCCAACAGGGCCTGGGCCCAGGAGCCCTATCACTTGTCCACTAGCCTCCTCAGCTTGGCTTCTTCTGGCTACACTGGACTTACATACCTATGTCCACAACCAGCAAAACTGTCCTGTTCTGAGTCTCATACTTTCAGGGCTTGAGATGCCAGGTAGCAAACATGATAAACAAGCATGGTGTATCCCCAGATTAATGAAGGGTTTACACTGGAACCTGTAAAAGTCACCTATCCAGTCAGTGCCAAGGAAGAAGGGGAGACAGTAAGTATTGGGAAAAGACACTCATGGAAATATTTCACAAGCTAAGGAGTTGAGGTCCTTCCCAGCAAAATTGGTCTCCAAATTCTTGTTTACTCCAGACATGTGGCACTACACAGAACTCCTCTCCTCCAGCCTAAATTTGCAAAGTAATAATAGCTAGCAGACAATAGTTTAAGTACTTTATTTATACCACCTGATTTAACCTGCATAATAATCCCATGAGGCAGGTACTATTAATATCCCCATTTTACAGAAAGAAAAACTGAGGCACGGAGAGGTTGAAATAACTTGCCCAAGGCAACACAGCCTGTACGTGGTGGGGCTGGGATTCAAACCTAGGGAGTCTAGATGCAGAGTCCTGGATCTGGAGTCAATGATCATAAACACTTAAGTGAACTGGTTTTCTTACACATGAATCATAGTTAACTGTTTATCTGGGACCACCTTATACCTCAGAATTCATAGAATGTCAGGTAAAATTTTGAAAGCAATTCAAATATGCTTGGCAATGGGGGGGTGGGGTAACAGTAAGCAAGGTAAACCACCTATCTGGAAATATGTGTGTGTGTGTGTGTGTGTGTGTGTGTGTGTGTATATATATATATATATATATATATATATATATATATATAATTTCAAAATGAGAGAAATCTGAGTAAGCAAGGTAAAGAACATACCAGAAAGAAGACTCAGATGTGTATTTCAAAAGAATGGAAATCACAATATAATTCAGATTTTAACACTTAAAAATACATAACTGTTCTTTTAAGTGTGGGAGGAAGCTGACACCCCTTGGTATTCCCACTCTAGAGAAGTATAGATGTATGCATGTATGCCTATATAGTCATTGGTACCCTTGATAAATATTGTCTTGGTACCTTTCCTAGGATTTTAATTACTTTCCTTTACTACAAAAGAAATGTGGGCAGGTGGGAAGGTGAGAAGAGGGAAGGAGCACCAAACCACAACTGTAAATGTGGTAAAGACCTGTGGATTTTATGATTGGTATTAGCCCAAAGATTTTCTCATGTTTTCAGGAAAGTTCTCAAGACTGTTGTAGTCTTCCTCTATCAATGTGAACACCACTAGGTACTTCTTCTATGACAAAGTTGCCACAGAGCAGTGAAAACAAAATGGTACTTCACTTGGAAGTCAATCATCTTTAAGATAAAGCATTGCAGGAAATTCAGGGGCCATACATGTGATATTATCACCGACATAGCAGATTCCTCCCAAAAGGGACGATGCCCTAACATAAACTGTCTTTCTTTTTGCTTGCCAGGTGTTTATCAGCACCAGGCAAGGTTCCTGGGTCCTCAGCCGTATCTCTGACTGTGGCTATCCCTGGGACATGGTGTTCCACACCCGGTTTCGCTCCATGCTCCGAAATGTCCTGCCACGAGCAGTTCAAAAATGGATGTTGGAACGGCAGATGAATCAGTGGTTCCACCATGAAAATTATGGCCTTGAGCCTCAAAACAAGTAGAGTTATTTTGCTTTTTTTATGGTATACTCATTGGTAAGCAAGGTTGTTAGAGGTGCCTCTCTTCACAAAGGGCCAAAGTGCTAACATGGTAGCTCAAGCTACAACCCAACAGTATGGGTATGGTATAGGTTTTGGAGTTTGAATTCCAAAAGTTGTTCTGTATGCATTTTAAAAGTGAATACTTAAGAAGATCAAGTAGAAATGGTATGAGCTGCTCCAAAAAAGCAAAAGTAGGTCATGGAAAGAACTTTCTATTACCCAGAGCTGTCCAACGTCAGAAAGGCTGCTTAATGAGATTGTGACCTTCTTTTCAGAGGGTTGTGGTAGGAAACGTGTATCAGAGTCTCCATTCAATTATTTATGTTCTGCTAACTCTGTGTATCATGGGGGTTCTTCCCATGGGCAGCTTTGAGAACATAATCACTGTCTCTTTGCAAAAAAAAAAAAATCTCTGTTCATCTCAAAGTTATACATCACCGAACTTAACTCAAGCAAACATTATAGATGTTTATGTTTCTTTAGTTAATAACAGGCTCCTCCCCTTAAAAGGCAACACAGAAGAGCTTTAGACTCTTTCAACAAATGCTATGTGACTGCTGTATGCTGCGATCTGAGATCTGTAGCATGTATTGCCTTAAACCTACAAGAAAGAGAATTTAAGAAATATAAGCAGACTTTGCTTCACTGCCCATGCTATCACATATGGAGATTTCATGAATAGTTGAGATTAGCAACTATCCCCAATATAATTCTACGCATTAATTTTCATACTGATTCCTTACTGATTTTTTTATTTTTCACTTTTTTTCCTCTCATGATTCCTTACTAATTTTTAAAACTAATGGGAATTTAATATGTTTTCCCTTTTTACTTATGATCAGATAGAGATTAAATGGAACAGCAAGATAATTAAAGGTAGATAACATAAAAGAATGTTAGAGCCCTAGCCGGTTTGGGCTCAGTGGAGAGTTGGCCTGTGGACTGAAAGGTCCCAGATTCAATTCTGGCCAAGGGCACATGCCTGGGTTGTGGGCTTGATCCCCAGTGGGGGGAATGCAGGAGGCAGCTGATCAATGATTCTCTCTCATCATTAATGTTTCTATCTCTATCCCTCTCCCTGCCGCTCTGAAATCAATAAAAATATATTTTTTCAATAAAGAATGTTAGAAACATCCATGGGCTAATAACCACTAGAATACTCAGCGAATGACCATAGGCACCTGCATTTTGTATAAGCCCTTGGGATGCTTTCATTTTTTGAAATATCTTTTACCCCTATCACCCATATGTTTCCCCTTCGTTAAGGGAGAGATTTGTGACATGAAAATAAAGTCAGTTAGTAAATTTGGGGTGAAGCCAACTAATCAAGTTAGAACGTTTTATGGATATTTGAGAAACCTCTTTATTTTCAGAGCCAAACCCACAAAATATCAAGACAGTTCAAGACTCCTCATTAAATGCTCCTTCTGAGTGTTTTCTTCTGTGTGTTTCAGATACCTGATGAAAGAACCTGTACTAAATGATGACCTTCCAAGTCGTATACTCTATGGAGCCATCAGGGTGAAATCAAGAGTGACAGAGCTCACGGAAACTTCTGCCATCTTTGAGGATGGGACAGTGGAAGAGGACATTGATGTCATTGTCTTTGCAACAGGATATACATTCTCTTTTCCCTTCCTGGAAGACTCACTTGTGAAAGTAGAGGATAATATGGTCTCGCTATATAAATACATGTTTCCTCCTCACCTGGAGAAGGCAACCCTTGTCTGCATTGGTCTCATCCAGCCCCTAGGTTCCATTTTCCCAACTGTCGAACTTCAAGCTCGTTGGGTGACGAGAGTTTTCAAAGGTAAGTTTTCAAAGGCTGAGGTCTCAGACCTGGTAGAGTCTGCTCAATAATGAGTTTAGACAAGATCATCGCCAATCTTGGCTGCTCTCTTAAGATTTACATCCTAAAAAGTTAGTGGAGATGTCATAAAATAACAAATACAAAGATATAATAATAAACATCTGTAATCATTCCTTTAATATATTAGAAAAGTTCTGTGAATTTTGGATGTGAGGGTGATCTGGCTGCGACATCTGTCACCCCATTGATCGCCAGGGTTAATTCCGCTGATCTGGCTGGCTAGGAGGGTGTCCCCCTCCTCCCTCACTGATGTATGTGCATCCCTATGAAGCTACGCGTGCTGGGTCAAAGAGGACGACCTTCCCCCAAAAGGAGAGGACTGGTCTTCGGTCAAGGGTATAGGAGTAGCTGAGCTCCCCTGCTAGAACCTCCAAACCAACCCACTACTTAAACCAGCCTTTTGTATTCTAGGCTTGTGTACCTTGCCCTCAGAGAGGGCTATGATGGAAGACATTATCAAGAGGAACAAAAACAGAATTGACCTGTAAGAATGTTTTTTTAATCTTTACCTAGAACAGTGTTTCTCAAAGCACAGTGAGTACTCTACCCACCTGTGAGAACTAACTAGCTGTTCATTAAAAATGCAAATTCTAAGGCCACAGCCCAGACCAACTGAATCGGAATCTCTGGATGAGACTGGACGTTTGTGTTTTTTGAGTTCTTCCTAGGTGATTCTTATCTATAGTAGTTGAACAACTAACTACTTAAAGACAGGAATTTTACCAAATCAGAACATTTTCCCTTGACTGAATTTCATTTGTTTTGTATGATGCGCATATTAAATTCCATGTCTTCTCAGGCCACTCACACTCTGTGTTTAGAGAGGGAATGGTGTTAATATAAGAAACATTCAAACCTTTGAAGAATTTTTGTGAGTTTATTTGAGCTAAACTATTGACAACTGCCAGGAAGCAGAATCTCAACAGATTGAGATACTGCTTGGGAGAATGGCAGTTTTGTACCTTATTTTATACATTACAATCAAAAGAGGAGACAATAAAAAATGCATGTGAGTTACATGAAATCTATTGGTGATAGATTAAGGAGGTGGGAGAAAGCAAAGGGGGGGATTTCTGTGATTGGATAAAAAGTAAAATGACAGACACATACATGTGTGAAATGAAGGTTCGAGGATTACTACTTTGTGACTGAAGTGAAAGGAGGTTCAAGTGGGTTGAGTCCCCTTGGGAAGTTGACTTGGAGCCTTATATGACATGAAGGGGTTATCTCATGTTCAAATGCTCATTCAGCTAACACTTACTGAGCATCATATGCCAGCCAGAGTGCCAGGGACTCTACTAATTTAACAAGCAAATATCAAGTGTCTCCTCTGTGCTTGCACTGGGCTAGGCTTTCATCTGTGTGTTACCTCATCAGTCTTGACAACAATCCTGACTAGTTGGTACTTTGCTTAGTAAATACCAAATCATCATCATGATTATAAATGTTGTCAATTCCTCGAAGTCCCATGTATTTTACAGTCTATGGCCAATCTGAAATATAGGCTCTTTATTTTAGTCTATAGTCAATCTGAAATACAGGCCTCCTGATGGGATAAACCAACACTTTCCATTTATTTGTTCACTCATTCCTTCACCCTGTCAATAGCTATCGAATGCCTTCTGTTCTTATATAACTTTGAACATCTTGTGAATCCGCCCTTCTCACTTTCTTCATTCAGGTTTGGAGAGAGCCAGAGCCAGATTCTGCAGACCAATTACATCGATTACCTGGATGAGCTCGCCGAGGAGATAGGTGCGAAGCCAGACCCCCTCTCTCTCCTGTTCAAAGATCCTAAACTGGCTGTGAAACTCTATTTTGGACCCTGCAACTCCTATCAGTATCGCTTGGTGGGGCCTGGACGATGGGAAGGAGCCAAGAGTGCCATCCTCTCCCAGAAACAGAGGATGCTGACGCCTCTAAAGACGCGCACACTACAGCCGGCTTCTCACTTCCCAGTTTCCCTCCTGCTGAAAATCCTGGGGCTTCTTGCTGTTGTTTTGGCCTTTTTTTTCTAACTTCAGGGTACGAATCCATCAGCTTTTGGCTTTATTATCAGTCAGTACCAGTTAAAGAAAAAAAAAGACAGAAAGAAAAAATATTAAATATATATTCTAAAGTTCAGAGTTGAGAGGGAAGGAGTAAGAGAGGTAACTGTGGAGAATTAGCAGGATTAGGACTATGTATGAAACTAAAATAGTGCCATGAAATGTCTTTGCCGTTTCACTCTTCCCTCAAGTTATCTAGACTCTCCAAAAAGGACAATCAAATAATACGGGCTAAATAGTGTCGCCAGCCCTGATATAGGTAAGCTGTGCAGAAAATAGCAGAATTACACAGAATGAAGAGCAGGCCCCACTGTTTAAATCACTGGAAATTTTAAGTTACAGGTACATATTTCAATGCCTGTGTGATGTTCTGAACAGTCTTTCTATCCAGACTATTTGGTGACAAAGTTCTCAGACATTAGGTCACACTCCATTTGCTTGGTGGGGAAATCACTCAAAAATACTGGAGAAAAAAATGAAAATAGACTTTAAAGCCATGGCAATACTCAGGCAGCTCTAAGAGTCTCATATCGAAAACCAAGCATTTCTTATAATTCTTGTATTTTCTTATATTTTTTATATTTTTCTTATATGTTGACAGAAACACTGCTGTAAAATAAAAATAAACATCCCATGATAGTTATGTACTATATACTTAGTACTTATTATAGACTAGACATTGTGCTGTGTGCACATTATGTGTATTATATCATTTAATTCTCACAACAATTCCGGGAGACGGGTGCAGCTCTTACACCGAGTTAGCAGATATGAAATTGAGATTCATACCAATTGAGTGACATGCACAAGACCATACAGATGGTCTTACGATGAAGCTGGGATTAGAACCCAGATTTGCTTGGCCTCAGAACTAAAGACATAACCTTTCCCTATAATATACTTAATTACAAAAATCCCTAGTATTGATAAAGTACTGAGCAGTGTATATTATTTACGAACATATATATATATATTTTTGGAGGACAGCACTCCTTGTAAATATAATCCGATTATATTTGGTTTATAATTCAGCTAAACCTAAGAAGCATTGAAGTAATTTTACAGTGAAAGGTACCTATACAATAACATTTAAGATCATCATTGACATTTTGGAAAAACAATCATCAAGGAGGAAAAGTATATTTCCCAAGTAGATGAAAAGCATTATGAAAACTGAGTCTTGTATTTAGTTCTAACCTTACAGATAACCTAGGCAAAAAGCTAAATCATATGTAATATTTGTCATCTGATCAAAGGAAGCATACCAGTTTGTCAGGAAAGACAAACATTTTCTTGAAACTGAAGTCCAAAAAAGACCCAAGCAATTCAATGTCAACAGACATTGAGCAATAAACATCTGGTTATGAAACATGCACTGCACACCCACTGAGCTTTGGGAGATAAACTCTGCCATAGGCCCAGACCAAAGCCTTCAAAAAGAGGTAAAAGGTCAGAGGTTAAAGGATTTAGGCAAATTTCCACTCTTACTCCTTCAAAGCCTCTGCTGACATTGTTCTCCACTTTGCCTGCATTTCTCTGCCAAAAGCCTAGAACAATGCACTGGCAATCTCTATCTGCTGAAACTTCTTCCTTAAAGTCCATTGAAATATCAGCATTTAAATGCAAGTTTGTTTAGTCATTGCTCCTGTCAGCAAATTCCTTTGGGGGAAAAAAAATTGCAGATAGTGTATATACTTAGTTCTTGATGAAAAACTGATTCCTTTACTAATTCTTAAAGATTATTTGCAAGCCATTATATTAACAACAATAATAATAATGTATCAACCCTTTCTAGCAAGAGTAGTAAATCCAGCCTACCCCCTATTTCTGTATATAAAGTGTTATTGGAGCACAGCCACAGCTATTCATTTATTATCTGTGGCTGCTTTCAAGCTATAATGGCAGAGTTGAGTAGTTGCAATAGAAAAAGTATGGCACATAAAGCCTAAAATATTTACTATCTGACCCTTTGCAGAAAACGTTCGCCAATCCCTGTTTTGTGATGTGCCAAACATTATCCTAATTGTGATAGCCTCATTCATCATTACCAGTACCCAGTAACTATGGATACCATCCTTCTTCTAGTGGAAGAGATTGAGAAACAATGGCCAGATTAATGCTGAATCAATGAAGGAAAACAGCTCCATTAGGGACAGAATTGTTATTAAATTTATATACTTGAAAATTTTAGAAAGAGGATGATCTCTTGAAATCTTTCCAAATATTGTTACCTTTTTAAAACAATAAATAGTTCATTTCCAGAGTCTGAAATTGACTAAGGAAGACTCATCCAATCTCTTATTTTGCCTCCATACATCCTGAAACGTGAAACTATCCCAAACAAACAGTCTGGGATAGCTTGTTCCAAACTATGACCCATAAACTACCTGCATTAGAACAGCCCAGGGAGCTTACAGAAGGGCAGGTTCCTGGATTTAAATGTAACAGTAATTCAAACCAGCTGAATTGGAATTTCGGATGGAATCTCCAGTCTTGATAAGCTCCCTAGAAGATTCTTGGGCACATTAAATTTAGAAACTATTCGTTTGAGTTCTCTCCAAAAATAAATAAATAAAGTTGCTTTTAGAGATTAGCCCATGACGTTTTCCATATATCAGGGCCAAATTCCTCCTGAGGTTCAGCCCTGGTGCCTTTTGCTATAGTCTATGATGTTAGCTGGTTATCACCCTCTTCCCAAATCTCTCCCTGTGGTCCCCTTACTAACTGGCCCCCTTACTAACCTTTCACTTTCATTCTCCTCCATATGGTATCTCCTTGATTTTCCTATCTAAACCCAATCACATTTGTTCTTTACAGAAAAATAAAGATATTTTTCAAATAAAACTCTTGGACCATGATTTGTGACAAATTGTCAAATAAAGAACATTTCTAACACTAAACCCAGACAGAATCCAGCATTCACATTATAATGAGGATGGCAAAGGTAGATTTTTCCTGCTCACTGGTCTCTCATCCTGAAAGCTACTGTTGCTGACCCGAACCCCCCAGTGCAGAGCTGTTGGCTATTTCCCAGGAGGCAGATGTTTACATAGAACACAACTCACTTTCTTGTCCAGTCTGCCTTAGGAGCAGATCACAAACCCATGAGGTATGAAATAAAATAAAATAAAATAAAATAAAATAAAATAAAATAAAATAAAATAAAATAAAATAAAATAAAAAGTAAAGTAAATTAAAAATAAAATAAAAATAGAGAAGAACATACCGTGTTCATGGATTGGTAGAATCAACATCATCAAAATGTCCATACTACCCAAAGCAATCTATAGATTCAATGCACTCCCCATTAAAATACCAACAGCATATTTCACAGATCTAGAAAGAACGCTCCAAAAATTCATCTGGAATAAAAAAAAACCCTGAATAGCTGCTGCAATCCTGAGAAAGAAGAACAAAGTAGGTGGGATCTCAATACCAGATATCAAGCTGTATTACAAAGCCACTGTTCTCAAAACTGCCTGGTACTGGCACAAGAACAGACATATATACCAATGGAATAGAATAGAGAGCCCAGAAATCAACCCAAACCACTATCTTCAATTAATATTTGACAAAGGAGGCAAGAACATACAATGGAGTCAAGACAGTCTCTTCAATAAATGGTGCTGGGAAATTTGGTCAGACACATGCAAAAAAATGAACCTAGACCACCAACTTACACCATACACAAAAATAAACTCAAAATGGATAAAGGACTTAAACGTAAGACGGGAAACCATAAGAATATTAGAAGAATTCTCAGGTAGCAAAATCTCAGACATATGCCGAAGCAATTTCTTCACTGACACAGCTCCTAGGGCAATGGAAACTAAAGGGAAAATAAACAAATGGGACTATATCAAAATAAAAAGCTTCTGCACAGCAAAAGAAACCATCAACAAAACAACAAGAAAACCCACTGCATGGGAGAACATATTTGCCAATGATATCTCCGATAAAGGTTTAATCTCCAACATTTATAGGGAACTCATACAACTTAACAAAAGATAAACAACCCAATCAAAAAATGGGCAACAGACCTAAATAGACACTTTTTGAAAGAGGACATACATAAGGCTGAGAGACATATGAAAACATGCTCCAAGTAACTAATCATCCGAGAGATGCAAATCAAAACGACAATGAGGTACCATCTCACACCTGTCAGAATTGCTATCATCAATAAATCAACAAATGAAAATGCTGGCCAGTATGCGGAGTAAAAGGAACCCTCGTTCAGTGCTGTTGGGAATGCAAACTGGTGCAGCCACTGTGGAGAACAGTATGGAGTTTCCTCAAAAAATTAAAAATGGAACCTCCATTTGACCCAGGGATCCCACTTCTAGGAATATATCCCACGAAACTAGAAACACCAATCAGAAAGGATATATGCACCCCTATGTTCATAGCAGCACAATTTACCATAGCTAAGATTTGGAATCAGCCTAAGTGCCCATCAGCAGATGAATGGATTAAAAAACTTTGGCACATCTACACAATGAAATACTATGCAACTGTAAAAAGGAAGGAACTCCTACCATTTGCAACAGCATGGATGGAGCTGGAGAGCATTATGCTGTGAAATAAGTCAGTCAGAGAAAGATAAATATCATATGTTCTCACTCATTTGTGGATTATAATGAACAACAAAAACCGATGAACAAAAACAGATGTAGAGGCAGAGAAGCATCCATCAGATGCTCAAAACTCAGAGGGAAGATAGGGGAGGGTGGGGGTGAGAGGGAGAGATCAACCAAAGGACTTGTATGCATGCACATAGGCATAAGCAATGGATATGGACAACAGGGGGTGAGGGTGAGGGCAGGATTGGGGGGATGAGGGTAATTGGGGGGATAAGGACACATCTGTAATATCTTAATCAATAAAGGGGTAAAAAAGTCAAAGTATGAAAAAAATATTTTATTTTATTTTTATTTTATTTTATTTTTTATTTTAAATAAAATAAGTAGAAACACCCTAGTTGAGGCTGTGTAGTCTGGGGAAGTTGCAACAGAGTCCTCACGCCACCAGAGAAGTCCTGACTCTCCTATGAATGGTCTGCTTCAGTCCCTCTGCCGTATCAATCACCGCGGTAAGGAGCTCATTTGAAAAGGGGCCATAGCACCAGCACAGCAATGTACTTGAGTGCAGCAGCTCAAGCCTTGGTCAAGTAGCATCCTGTGATGAGACATCCATGCAGCACATTCTCATGGCTCCCACGGGCTCAAAACATCATTTTTGTATTTTTTTAATTCATTGATTTGTAGTCTTTAAATTAATTTACCTTGTTAGTTACCTGCTGTGGCTGTCATTCACAGCCAACTCTAAGACCCCTCCCCCTGCAAAATAGAAATTAAGTTAGGGTGCCATCGCAGCATCTGCACATGTTCATGAATTCTCGTGTTTACTTTTGCAAATATGGGAACAACTCAAATGAGACCTTGGTGACCCACCAAGCAGATTTGAAGGGGAAAAAATTTTTAAAGAAAAAAGAAAGAACTCTTCAGGGTGACTTTGAAACCTATTTTGTGCTCTCCCTTTTTTCTTTTTCTCTCTCTTTCCCTTTGTCATCAATCATCATTCTTATATTTCCCTATTCATTTCCTTCACTTGCTGAAAGACAACCTTTAGCTATAGATTTCTAGTTTTCCCCAATGGCTCTGATTCCAAAGATTCTGTCACTTCGTCTGTCTAAAATAAACCCAAAATTGCCAGGGCAGATATCTACAAAAATATCAAATTAAGGAAAGCCTCCTGAAGATGTGAAAATAACCTAGCAACATCTATTGGGGGCCTAGCATGTCCCAGGACTGTGCTAAATGCTTTTCATACATCAGCTGACTCATTCTTACAACAGGTTCTACTTCTAGCTTCATTATCTGGAGAAGGAACCTGAGACGAAAAACAATGTGTGTGCCCAAAGCCACACGGCTGGTAATTAGCCAACACGGAACTCCAAGCCCAGGCCTCTGACCTGGCAGCTTCCCTGCTGTCCTTTGAAAAGCCACTGGGAGGTCTGCTGCTCCGGATGGCTGGCTGCACCCGGTCCAGGCTGAGTTACAGTGGTGGCCTGGGGAGGTGCTTTTTTTTAATCCTCACCTGAGGATATGTTTTCGTAATGATTTTAGAGAGGAAGGGAGAAAGAGAGAGGGAAAGAGAGAGAAACATCTATCAGTTGCTCCCCATCTGTACCCTGACCAGGGATCAAATCCCCAACCTGCATATGTGCCCTGACCAGGAATCGAAC